TTATAGTTTAAATTATATTTACTCATTACCCTTGTTGTAGGTCGAAATATCCATGGTGGTCGATGGAGAATTTAACTTCTTTTTACATTTTATGAAAATCTTTTATAGATATATAAATTAAGAGCATCATACAAGATGTTGCAACCTAGCCTAATATGATCCAAAGGCAGGACATGTCATATCATGTTATATTGAGACAAACCAAGCCAAAGATCGAAGTTTTGAGGACTTTTCATATTAATTTAATTAAAATAGAAAACAAAGATTCTAATTAACTTTTAGTAAGCAGAAAATAAACTCATCCATAATTTCTTTCCCTTCATTCATTTTTAAAAAATATTTACAACAACTTACACATTATAATACATGACATTAAACTAGAACAAAGAAAATTAATAAATAGTCATGACTGTAAAAAAAATCTCAAAAAATACCTATATATACTCGAACAAATCAAAACCTATAACCTTAGCTACTCAACATGCTCTTTCCCTTTCTTCTCGCCTAAAACAAAATGCAGAATATGTGTGAGCCAGCACAGCTCAGTAGATCACACATACCAACCTTATTTCCTAATAATTGATTCATTTATTGAAATAAAAGTAATCACTAACATATTATTGCACTAAAGCAAAATAATACTAGTAGTTAACAATATTTAGTCAGACTTTACACTGAGAGTAAATAAATAAGTACTTCATATATCATAGAAAAAAGTAACATAATTCCCTCATACCCTTATACCTCGCATTAGAAACAAATATCATAATTCAAACTCTTATGACTCATTGTGCTAGCATATCATAAACTATGCCATTATGACTCCCAATGCTTAACACACATTTGATATTCTAATTTCAAGACCTTATGACTTCATGTGCATTCAACACCGAAACTTCCACCACACATAAAAACTCCACATAATCACACATTTCAAGCCCCCTTCGCCCACATGTGCTCACTCCCGAACTTGCTCGAGCATGGCTTTATTTTGGAGTTAGCGGGTCGGGTCAGGTCGAGACAGGTTCGATCGAGCTGGTAACTTGTTGGGTCGAGTCTCGGTCTGAATTTCTGACTCATTATTAAAATTGAGTTGGGCTTAGGTCAGCTAAATTGAACTAGGGTTAATTCCAGGTTTGACCCAAACCTGACCCGAATACTAATTTTAACACCCATACTCTTAATACGTTCGACCTAAGCTCGATCTTGCTTTCCAAATGGGTTAAAAATCTAGATTTGAACCTGACCCGACACGAACTTGATTGAAATGACCCAAACCACTAACCTGTGAGTGCAAGCATGTGAGCGAGAGCAAGGGTAAGGGCAAGCAAGCAAGGTTGCTAGGCCTGGTGTGACAAGCGAGGTGAGATCCTACCGAGCGAGGGAGGGTCAAATGGGTTGTTTTTGGGTTCACGTGTTAACCCAAACCTAACCAGATATATCAATCAGGTCAAAAAATTAAACTCAAACCCCACCCATTTGTTAAACAGGTAGGGTGAGAGTCAGGTTTTCAACTCGTGTCATATATTGACACCCTTACTCACAAATACATGCAAGATGTGTTAAACATAAAAATTTAGTTGTTTACCTTTACCAGACAACAGTTAGAAGCGGTGCAACTGTGCACGATTCAGTAGATGTTACACAATAGACAAAATAATTAACATATTGGACTAAAAAAGAATACATATCACGATGTGAGTTTAGGACTTAAAATGACACCAATCTTTATAACTAGAGATGTCGTAAATACAATATAATAGATGTGAATTGTTAAAAATATCTCAAAAGGTCGCAACAAGTGGAGTATTGAAATGCCATAGTTATTATTAGGAGATGGTTGTCAATTTACTTAATTGTTCTCTTGATAAGAGACATAAAATAATTAACATATTGGGCTAAAAATGAATAATTAAATATCACGATGTGAGTTTAGGATTGAAAATGGCACCAATCTTTATAACTAGAGATGTCGTAAATACAATATAATAGGTGTGAATTGTTAAAAATATCTCAAAAGGTAGCAAAAAGTGGAGTATTGAAATGTAAGAGTTATTATTAGGAGATGGTTGTTAATTTACTTAATTGTTCTTTTGATAGGAAAGGAAATCAAGTGATCAACAAAGCCAACCTTAGATTTTAATTGATGAAAGTTGTATATCAATCCTTATTATACATCTAACATGTTAGAAGTTAGGTTATAATCATATATAAACTTAATATTTCTTTTGATAAGAGAGAAGATCAAATGATTTATAAAATGGGTGTCAAACATTTCTAATTAAAGAGGGTTTAATATTGATCTTTGGCATGTGTTAGGTGATGGTTAACATGAAATTCAAAACTAGGGTCAATGATTAGTAGTTAGCTTAGTTATTGTTCTAATAGAATTGGAGACTGAGTAATAGAGTAGACTTGTGTGAAATATCTCTAGCAAGCATATGTCACACACACCAGTTAATGGGCGAACAACAACTCTATCATTTTCTTGATAAGAGAAGCAATATGATGAGTGAAAACATAAGTGTTATATATTAGTGTATGAGGGATATCAATGCCAATAAGTGTTAGAAGATGATTGATCAAGAACATCAAAGGTTGGGTGATGATTATGTTTTCCATTCTTTTAACAAGAGGGGTGTATGAGTAATTGAGATAAATTTTTATTATTGGCTGAAGCCAAGTAACAATTGACAAGGAAATTCAAAATATCTATGATAAGAGGAGAGAACACCGATTGGAAATACATGCATTATACATTAGTGAATGATAAGCACTGGATATTAGCGACTAATGGATGTTAAACATTGCTCATTAACAACCATTTGATGACAAGCGAGGGGAGCATTAAATACATTTAATGGGGAACACTAAAAGTAAAGGAATGGTCAGTAGTTAGCATAGTAGTTCTATTGGTAGCTAGGAGGGAATATCGAGCGACTATAAACATGGTGTTGAAATTTAGTGGTTGTGAATTATCGAACGGTTGATAATGAATGTCTGAGGATGACAAAGATAATGGAATTTGACATTGAATAATTCAAAGTCGTAAACACCCCCATGGGTCGATGCATCCAAACTTGATAATGACTATAACAATATATTTTTGGATATGAATTTGCATAGAAGCATGATATGCTCTTTATTATAGGGGTGTCAATATTCGACCCGACACAAAAACCCGACCAGAACTCGACCCGAAAATTTCGGGTTCGGGTTGACCCGAACCTAAAGCGGGTCGGGTTCGGGTTGACTCGGGAACCCGAAAATGACCCGGCTGCCGGTCTGCCCGCTCTGCCCACGTCATTCTCCCCGCATGCATTGACTCGTTGCCGAGTGCCACGCATGAGTACATGATGCATCTGCCCAGTGCGGCAGTGCCCCGGCTGCCCGCGATGGTGCGATCCAGCCACTGCCTGCTAACCAGCTGCCAGTTCGGTAGCTCCAGTGCCCGCGATGTCGCGATCCAGCCACTGCCCGCGATGGCACGATCCAACATCCCACGGTCGAGTCTACCGCGCATCCCGCGGTCCAGTCCGCGCGTCCCGCGGTCGAGTCCGCTGCTACTGCCAAACGTCGAAGCGTGACCCGGCGTGCCGTTGTCCATTCCAAAGCGGGTCGGGTCGGGGTTACCCGAACCTGAAGCAGGTTGGGTTCGGGTCCGCAAAACTGGCCCGTATACAAAAACGGGTCGGGTTCGGGTTGACCCGAGTAGTGCTGGGTCAGTTCCGGGTTCGACCCGTGACCTGAAATTGACACCCTTACTTTATTATACCTTATTGTGAGCACACCCAATATAATATTCAAATGTTTTCTTGTGTGCTCATTTACAAGAATATCATAAGGAGTCACATTGGTTCATAGTTCAATATATATTTAAATATCTTATAGGTGTACCTACAATTGGTATATGGTATCATAATCATAGTATTTTATTTTATTATATTGTTTTTTTAAAATGTAACTGCAAGTTAAATATGAAAAGCACTTTTACAACTTATTAATTCATCTGACATTTATTTCTCAATCTATTAGAAATATAATTTAGTTGCACTATTAATTGCTGAGGTGAAATATATTTAAGTTGGACATTGTGTTCCAGGTTCAACAACTATAAGAAATAAAGTTAGAAAGTATACCCATTTTGTTTGATAATATCACTTCAATGTGATCAGATAAAAATCTAATTCAACGCTATTAAACAAAGCACAATAACACTTCCATCATATATCATATTTTAAATGACAATTTCATTATAAAATTTGGAGACCAAGAAAATAAATCAATTTATATATTCACCAAACCACTTAGACTTCGTTTGAGATGTTTTCTTATTACTTTTTAAAGCATTTTTTTAGTATAAAAATTAATATTTTTATATTAAAAGCTGCTTTAATAAGCAATAAAAAGCCCTTCCAAACGAAGCCTTAGTTTAGAAAAAATATGTTACAAACTCAATTTATGAAGTATTTCATAATTTTTCATATCAAAGTTTTCCGCATAGTTAGAAAGAGATTAATGTTTCGTTTGGGACAGCTTTCTTACTGCTTCATAAATCAAAATTTTAGTACAAAAATTTAATTTATGTACTAGAAAGCTGCTTTATGAAGCAGTAAGAAAGTCATCATTTGAAATAGCTGTCTAATTTTTGTACTAAAAAGCTGCTTTATGAAGCAGTAAAAAAGCCGTCATTTGAAATAGCTGTATAACTGTTTTCCTTAAAGCAATAAGAAAGCCATCATTTGAAACTATTTTCTAAAACAATTTTTTAGCACGAAAAAATTTAGTTAATACATTTTTATACTGAAAGCTTACATAGGATCATCTTTTTTAGGAAAGAATATTTGCTTTATAATAAATGCAGATATAGAAGTTTACAGCAAAGAAATTCGTAGGGATACACACATTTTAAGAATTTTTTCAATAACGTATAAAGATATAAAGCCAATTTTTCAATCAAATAATCCCCACTTTCAGCTCATAAGATTCCGAGCATCGCATTTTCTTATTAATTTTGCCAAAATTTTCTTTCTATTTCGCTTGGCTGGACCCGAATTGGCAGTCCTAATCCCCATTCCCTTTGTCTCTCCACTCAGTCGAAGGACAAATCTAACCGAGAAGAAAAACCCTTTTGAGTTTTTCCCGTCGTGTCTTTGTCCTTTACGTTCTACACCATGATCGGGGTGGAGGAGTCCAAGGCTCTCTTCGCCCTTCTCAGCGCGGAGACGAGATCACTCGAAGATATATTCTCGGAGTTCAGCTCACGGTTTTCCCGCGACGTCCATTTCAGAGTCTGTTGCTCAATCGCCATGCTTCTCGAGGTTAACGACAAATATTCAATTTCCCAACTCGTTAATGTCTGTGGAACACCAGGGTGTTGATTGTTTCAAGTATTCTCGGTCTTTAGGGTTTATGATTCCTTGAGATTTTTATTTGACCTTTGATGTTTCTTATGATGGGAATGTATTTTTATTGAGTTGTTGGTCTTCGTTATATATCTATGTCACGATGATTTGAAAGCGAGCCTGTTTTAATTCTGCTGGATGTTTTCATCTGATGATAATTCTCTTTTTCTTAGAATTTTTATAAATGCTAGCATGTTTAGTTTAGAGTTTACATCCCTCATCCCGCATAGGCATTGATTATGGCAGAGAATCAAGATTTGAAGACGATCTTGCATTTGAGAATATGCCAAATTGAATAATTAGTCTACTAGGATATTTCAAAAGTGCAATCAGGTTGTGTTTAAGCAAAAAAGAGAAGTCAATTAGTTTCCTTTGTTCAGTTTGGTGGGAAAGGATAAAATTACAGACGAGAAACTTATACTAGTGGTTGGACTTCTTTAAGTAGTAGCAGATTACCCTGGGTAGACCAAGGTTTATATTGAAATGGTTTAAATTCAAGCTGAAATAATATGAAAGTTATAAGTTAGCCACCAATCATTCACATGTTTATTTTATAATTTTAACGGTGTTTATCCTTCTTCATCAATTGCTTAATTAAAGATTGGATTTGCTTCACAGGCAAAACAAATGAAGCATTTCATGTTTATTGCTTCCATCGGGCGATGCAGTCATTCATAAAAGTAAACATTTTAGATATCTTGGGTTTATTGTTCAAAATGATGGCGAAATAGATCGAGATATTATTAGTAGAATTCAAATTTGATGGTTGAAGTGGAAGATTGCATTGGGTCTGTTGTGTGATAGAAAAGTACCTCTTAAACTTAAGGAAAAATTCCATCAGATGGTGGTGAGACCTGCAATGCTTTATGATGCAAAATTTTGGCCATTAAAAGAGAAGCATAAAATTAAGTTAGGTATCACAGAGATGAGAATGCTTAGGCGGATGAGTGGCTTCACTCTAAGAGATAAGAATGAGAGTTTATATGTGAAAAGGTTGGAGTCATCATAATTTGACACTTAATAGGACAAAATGGAGAAGAAGGATTCATGTAGCCCACCTCACGTAGTTGGATAAAGGGTTGTTGTTGTCGTTGCTTTCCATATTCTTTCTGCCTTCAATTTTGTTGGAAACTCTTACAGTAGTATTCCAAAGTGAATGAAGGAGGAGAATGACAACATTCTTCCTTATGTTATTTTTGTTTTTATCATTTTATATGATCTTCATGCTCAAAATTACACTGTTGATTTTAATATATGCAATTTTTTATTGATCAAGTTTAATTTCTTAAAAAAAAATACCATTCATAAAGCTCGTATAAGATCTAAGGAAGTCAAAAAACATATAAAAGTCAGGGCTTTAGGGTCTATCTTTACCCATTTATTATAACAATCAAAACCATCAAAAATATTACACTCTAAATATCATCATTGATCCAGCACAATTATATCATGCAATCAAGGCAATCCATATAGATAAAATTGTTGCATCTGTTAGACAATCAAATGATCTAAATTTTTTTTTGAAATTGTGCATTCCCTTGTTTTGATGATGTTAAAGAGAATGGCTTCATCTTAGTTAGTTTGGAAAGCACAAAAAAGGGTAGAAAATGCACGATTGAATGAGTAGATAAAATCAGTGCTAGAGGATTAGGAAGTATGAGGAATTCAAAATGATTTTTGAATAACTTATATCCATAAATATATAAATATTATGCCAATATCATATATGAAAGCCATCCCCAGTGTTTCTTTTGTTATTATCAACTGGTTCATATATATTCCCATCGATATTTTTAATTGGTGCAGTATTTGAAATATTCATGAACCCTGATAGGCTCTTTATAAGTTGCAGCAGGTTTTTAACCTTTTTCCTACCTAACTTAACTGGCCACCTTTTCAGCCAGAGCATACTTAATTTCGCTCCATAGAAACATTGCAGATCATTGATACTGTAAACAAGAAACAAACTCATGTTAAGTTGAACATTGAGTCTATTTTTAAAATTAGGAACATCATACATTAATGCATCATAGGTTCTTTTAAGATAGAAAAGGTATGGATTATTTTTTCTTTGATTCATTTTCTCAAGCTTGATTCTAATGTATTAGTCATCTGTTAATGGAATCACTTTCTCAGCAAGCTTGCTAATTTTTATGCTTTATTCTTTGTTGCACTAGGGGTTCTGGTTAAGTGTTTTCCTAGTTGTATATTTTCGTGGACTTTTAGCATTTTTTTTATTTTTGCATATAAAATATTACACGGTTGGTGCAGATCCATCTTTTTATGGGTTCTTCAACTTCCCTCTTATTTCGATGTTTCAGGACAAGAGGATGCTCAAAACTAGCCAGCGTTTGGTTTCCTTTGGTATTCTACATCAGACATATTCTTCTCAACCGCCTTCTTCTAACCCTTTTATCTCTTTACTTATAGATGTGAGTGCTATAAATACTTATAAACTCTTTTCATCTTAGATTTGATTAACATGATAAATCTTACCTTTTCTTACCCTCAAGTTATATTTTTAGGACATGAAATCATTAAAAGTTTTGCTGTTTCAAATTTGAATGAGCATTCTTTGCATTGTCTTGGTTCAGTTGCTTGAATTCTGAAATTGTAGTAAGCTGCAGATGAAAGCACATTTTGAACACCAAGCTTCTATTAGCCTAGGGGCAAGTTGTCTTTTGAAACGAGAGTTGTCATTTCCAGTTTTATATCAATGCAAGAATTAACTTTATGATTTAGACTGGCTGAGAAAAGAGATGCTGCAACGTTTTCTTTTTTTTGCATTGAGTGGATCATGACATTGACAATTGCACAACATAATGCAACAATATTATTTTCAAGAATAAATAAATCATGCTTTTACGTCAAAGACATGTCTTTACATCACTATGTTTGATTTGAAGTTATGCATAATGTTCTTACAATTTGATAGAGTTTAGAACCTATTCATACAGAAAACAAAATCGTGATTTTGGGCAAATTTAATGAGGAAAAAAGGAACTAAAAGATAGTTTGTTTATGTAGGTGGAAAAAAATATGAAGATCCTTAGACTTAGATTGTTTATGATTTGATTCTAATGATTATAAAGTTGAGGCTATTTTATGCTTGTGAAGAGATGTAGGAGCATAAACTCTATCGTGAGGAATTAGAGCTCTGAGTTCAATAAGCTTCCAAAACATTCATGGGAGCTTTGGTTTGAAATTGATTGAAGCCTTCCAATCATAATTTTCATACAATTTGATAAAGTTTAGAACTTATTCACATAGAAAATAAAATCGTGTTTTTTGACAAATACAATGAGGAAAAAAAAAAAGGAACTATAAGATAGTTTGTTTATATAGGTGGAAAATAAATGTGACGAACCTTAGACTTAGATTGATTGTGATTTGATTTTAATGAATATTAAGTCGAGGATATTTAATGCTTATGAATAGATGTTGGCAACGTAAGCTCTTTGGTGAGGAATTGAAGCTTTGAGTTCAATAAGCTTCCAAAACATTCTTGGGAGCTTCATTTTAAAATTGATTGAAGTCTTTGAAAGAGCATCAACTTGGGATTCTGTGGTCGCTTTTGGGGTTCGTAGAAATAATTGTTTTTGAGGCTGCAAAAATGAGCTTCCTCATCTTATTTTGTTAAGGAAGCAGTACCTCTGTCAATCTTCATTGGCTGCATCATATCCAGTATTTTGATGAGTGAAATTGTGGCCCATATGGTGTTGCATATTAATTTTTGTTTGTTAACATGACAATGAAATGATTAGGTTGTGTCCATTTTGATTTGAAGATCACCAATTTGAATCACGAAAACAGCCTTCTGGCATGAGTATGAAGTTGTGTGGCTGCATACTTCAACAATCTGGTGGCCTCAATTAGTGGGAGACTCATGTATTAGGTACATCCTTAAGCATGAGTATGAAAGTACCCTTTTCTGATAAGCCCCAAACAATTAAATAAAAGTGGTGGTTACATTTAGTATTGATCTCCAAGTTGACTATAATATATTGTTTCAAGATCGTCTAATTATGCCTTTCATAAGTATTTATTTGATTGTGAACATGCTTAGCTCACCCAAAATATTATATTCTTTTTGGATTATCATATTTTAAGAAAGAAGCCAAGATGCTCTCTCAACTATTCGTGAGGGGCCATTTTAGGCCCATGCCATGTAAAAGGTTTTATTTAGTCCCCATACTCTTTAAACACGTACCAAAATTGTCTTGCATCTAAATTGCATGCTAAATGTCATGGCTATGTGTGCCCAAAAGTCAGGATGGAGGCATGAATTAATGGTATTTAGAGCATTTTAGTTTTGTTGATAAAATTTTCTTTATTATTATCATTTTTGGAGAACTTACCCTAGCTAACGAGGCCCTCACACATGATCTAATATAATCAAGGTCGATTTGAGAGGCGAGATGCCAGATGAGACGCGAACAACCGTAAGAGATTTGAGGATGTGAGGAGGTCCACATGTGAAGTCATGAACGACGGTTTGGAGGGAAGTCGCGGCTTGCTTGTAGTTTACCCGTACACACCTGAACATTAACAGATGACTGAGTGGCTTACAAGTGTAGCTCTTGACCATTTGGCGAAGAGGAGCGTAAGCTGTCAACTTCATTCTTATTCATGTGATGACTGGAGAATGTCCAAACTCATGAATAAACTCACTCTCTAATATTCATGAATAGATGCAACTTTTAATTGTGAAGATTATAACCATGGTGGTAATGAACCACATTCATGTGAATTGACATCAACGCAGATTAAAAGAATTTTGATTTTAAGTCAACATAAATTTGATTTGAGCTAAAAATGATTGATTTCAATTTTATTTTTTAGTTGATTCTAGCAATGCTTTTAAATTAAAAAAAAAAAAATCATACATCCATGTGTGTGTATGTGTGTGTGTGTGTGTGTATATATATAATGAGTATATTTATGTATTGTATGTTTATTATATATATTTGAACACATGTATATGTGTGAAGATACATATAAGTGTAATTTACATGAATCAGACTGATTTCAAATTAAATTAAATTAATTTTGAGCTAACCAATCTAAATTTAAGCAAATCAAATTTGATATTTTCTATTGTTCATGTTTGGTCCATGTTTGTTAATATTTGTCATTTTTTATTTACATTTGATTTATTATTATTTAACTTTTTTGAATTAAATAAACGTAAATAAATATATCAATTAAGCAGCTAAGTTTTATTATTTTAACTAAAAATAATTAGTGTAAGTCTCATCATATAAGAATAATTTTTAACGCAATATACAACCACCTTGGAATGATTTGAAAATTTAATTTGCGGAGTTACCCGCCGTACTTGAGAAAATAAGTTGAGTAGGAAATTGCATTTACTTGAACATTCAAGAAGAAAATTTATATGACCAGAATATCCTTATTTTGAACGCCATTCACTTCAATTTCCATTGTTTTATGTGGTTGGAGTATTTTTGCCATTGTTTAAAGAGCCTGGGTACGAAATTGGGCTTTTTATATAGTTTGGGGCTAAAATAGCTCCTCATAAATAGTTAGGGGTTCATTTGATCATTTTCTCGTGAACTAATTTACAAAATATTCTATTTAATGTACCTTTCTTATACTAGCCCCCTAAACAATAGATTAGGATATATTTCAAATTATTCATCTTGTAGCTTACAAATAATGTATGGAAGTATAATTTTTAATAAATAAAAGGTAATTCTTGAATAGCTTGTCTGGCATTGATACATGCACAATTTAATTTTGGTAAATTGTAATCAATTATTTGGGTTACAAGGGTTGTTTTTTTGGCTGATAAACAATTTTTTTAGGCCTCTCACTTTTGTTCCTCTTGGTTACAGAAAGATTTCCTTATTGATCTATACTGTTTTCTTAACACCAGTTATACTAATATCTTAAAAAATATTTTACCAAATTGAGTCTCTCTCTTTAATTTCACCAACCTAGCATAGGCAATGTTATTGGTGATAGGTAGAATCGCTAGATTATGATATGAGTCTTCTCTATTCTACCTTCTCTTTTGGTCAATCCTAAGGGGGTGTTGGATGCAACAACCAGCCTGTTTACATCGTCTTGATGTCTCTGTGTTCACCACCTCCTTCCTAACCTTTATAGGTGGGAATGAATTTTCACTGTAACATCATTGAGTTGCATCTACATAACAGTCAGAGTTTCGCATTTCTGAACCTATACACTTTCCCAATGGAAGTTCCTGATGAATAAACTAGATAAAATATACATGCTTCTCTTTTGAGAACAAAGCATCAAGAGGAGAGCAAGAACATGGCTGACCTATGGTGGGAAAAATTTTCACCAAGCCAACAAAGAGAGATCAGACTAGTTGTATAATTTTTTTCTAGTGACTATGGCCAGTTATTCCAGTAAGTTAAACCTATCATATAATAATGATTGTCTTCACCATTGCCAAAAAGGATTACGTCACCAGATTCCCAAGACACGCATCCACTCTCTTTATAGTACTATTGACATTGTATTGCCTTCCAGTGCATCTGTTCCAGCTGTCCAATTTGGACACTGATCGCAACCAGTCTCTAGGCACTAACTGTTTGTGTCACGGAGGGACTTGCTTCCTTTGCTATCAAACTTTATGGGAAATCAAGATATGAGTGCCATGCTCCTTAGGTGGGGCAACAAGGCTCTTTTTCCTATTCACCTTTACTGAGGCCTAGTGCAAGCACCGAGGCCGTTCTTTTGCTTGCCTTTTTTATGAAGGGAACAAGGTTACCCTCTTATATATATGGAAGGGCATTAATCCCCATGTTGTGGAAATCCTTCCCCTCTCTCTTCCTTTATTTGCCACCTGGCTATCCAATTATAGAAAGCTTGTTGATTGCGTACTGAGCACACAGGAGCTGCCAAGCTCACATTCTGGGAAGTGCATATTTTTCACGTTCTCAACTGTTGTCAGTTCCCTGATTTCAGCGTTGTCTATCAGGATCAATTCTTGCTGCATGCAAGAATACTTGTCGTTGTTGGCTACCACATGTTCACTTGATCGTGATCAAAAATATCCTGCACCAGGCACTTTCTTACTTTTTCCCTTGAAGCCAACGGGCATGTTTGGCCCCTTACATTTTTTTGCACCTTGCTTGGTTGTGCACACAGCGTACATTCCCTTGCATTAATTCCCTTACACTTTCTACACGCCCTTTCATTAGTGCATGTGCCCTGCAATTGGATCCCAATGCACTTGGTCACATGTGCTTCCACTGCATCCAGTACAGTAGTCTGCCCAAGTACTTAGTAATGTTTTGGCGAGAGGCTGTGTGCGCCGCGCCCAACAGAGATGATGCAAATCTTATTGAAAACCATCAAGTCTTATTACTGCCACATGTCTGGACACGTCCAAGGCTGGGAGTGGCTGAAGGTCACTGCTCAATGTCTTCCGCTAAATTCAATTTACCCTTTTTATTTTATGTAATAGCTATGATAAGTATTTATGCTCTCAATTTCAAAATTTAGAATTTTTTTTTCTTAAACATTCTTTACAGGCTGCTTGTGATGATTCATCTGAGAAGGTTGAATTGGCATTTATTCAGCAGATTCTGGGGTTTGTCACAACAAGCAATAACAAAGAGGTAGACACACTCTTATGTTTCACTTTTTTTATTTTTGCTTACTGGCAAGCCACCTTGTTTTATTTTTATGGAATATTTTATTTGCGGAGATTTATAATTTTTATGTTTGTTGCTATTGATGCCGGCAAGTGATCTACTATAGCTGTATTAATGGATTTACACTTTTCCCTTTTGGAAATTGTTATCATTGATTGGCTTTTTTCAAATGCAGATTAGAAGAAAATTATGATTTTTTGTCTTGGACTATAGGGGATCGTCCTACGAAATATACTGGATCATCCAGTATGATCTTAGTGGATTGTCCTGTATGATATGACTGAACAATTTAACCATAATTATTCATCTAATAACCGGATCAATTTAGGCATGATTGTCATAAATCGTCCATGACGATGTATGAAATTAAAACATTATATAAATTGTGATTGGCGGCTGTTTTTCAACATCTAAGTTGATCGTCTTGGACGACATGGTTCATCCAGTACAATTAGTTTAATCACTTATAATTAGCATGGATGGTCTAATCAGAGTTATGTTTTTATACGATCGTCCAATACGATTTAAAATCGTCCTGTACTATTAGGTCAAAAATAGAAAAATTCTCTAATTCACCAAATTTCTCCCCCTGAGTGTGTATGTGCAATGTTACTTAGCTTGGGGTCCACCATATTTAATATTTGACTGAAGAAAGATAAAAAATACATTGAAATGAAATTACAAGTGGACTCAACCTTAATCTACCCGATCTTAAGCTGAGTTGCATTGCAAGTGATCTTTTTGGCCTGAAAGGTTAGTAAGCAGGATAAACAAAATAGATATGCAATAATAGTAGTGATAAAGAAACAATAATGTTTGTTATAATCAAAATTACAGTATTTGGATACAGATTTGCAACAATCTCCCCCTTTTTGATGTTGACAAACATTGTCGTTAAAAATTTCAGATCAAGCAAGAGATATTTTTTTTAATTAAAGAAAAAAATTGAGACATAAAAAACAATAGAACAAAGTAAATTCCACTAAAAGCAAAAGCAAAAGCAAACAATACACTACTCCCCCTTTTGACATCATAAAAAGGAGGAAACAAGAAAAACATTAAACGGAATAAAATACAGAAAATAGGACCTGTATAAAATAGACTTGTGATAACCATTTCATATAAATCCATAACGAACCATCCATTTCATTTTTTCATATCTCATTTTATTCTTTCATTAGCTGAAGTTCAGCTCTATGGTCATTAGTTAAGCTATAATTGTCATTTGTATAGAAATAGTCAAATGGTGTCCTGAGTTATTACATCCAACCATCTTGGAGACCTTTTACGATTTGTTTTTAGTAGTGGAGGTTGGCAGCTATCAGTGGATGTTGAAGAAAAATGGTCTTGGGTTGATTTTGGGCCACCTATTATTTTTTGACCTTTATTGAATTCAAGCAGGCTAATAAGATGCCAATCGAAATATTATCATTCAGATCATTACATTTTTCAGCATTATATAATTAACTATACCTAATCATATGATTTATGCATCTCAGCCTGCATTTTGTGATTTTCCTTGCGCTATGGACGTTGGAGTCCACCAACTCCCTCTGATTCGTGCTCCTTATTGAATACCTATCCTTGTTTTCAACACTAATCATGAATCTTTCTCCACCACAAAGCCATTGACTTCTTTGGCCTTAATGTCACCTGCTTCTTAATTGACCTCCACCATGTTTGGTTGTCGGCAATATCCAAAATTATGCCAAAACCATCATCCCCTAACAATGATGTTCTGTCACCACTAATCAGTGTCTTCCTCCATGACTACTATTAACAGAACGAACCAAGCTACTTGTTCGGCAAGACAGAGACAACCCAATATTTTCTTATCTTTATTCAACAAAAAATCACAAAAAAAAACGAAAGTTCTTCTTTAACTCTTCCTATTAGCCATACTCTTTTCTCTCAAACATGGTGGTAGCCATAAAAAAAAATTAAAATCTAAAGGCCCCTTTATCACCATATTTTTAAATCATTTCATCGTAAAGAGGAACATCAATGCATTGTAATTGTTATTTTTTTTGTTCTTATTTGTAATTTCCACAAAGTTATACTTGAGAATGTCAATCTTATCATTTCAAATCTCCTAACTCATACACATAAGATGATGACTTGTATTCCCATATTTTAGGATTCATAAATCATACTATTATGAAGATGACTGTGATTATGTTCATCAATGTCATTTTAGATTGGATAAATCATGTTCTTATAATTATGCTCATGATTCTTATTATTCACATACCTATGATGATGCATCTTATGAAGAGGCATGGATTTATATTAATGAAGCCATTTGATAGGTCATAGGTTATGTCATGTGACAAACCAATTCAATTATGCACTTGCACTAAATTGCATGTAATTCATTACGCAAGCTCTATAAATTTATTTGACACCACAAATCATAGAACCTTTTCTAGTTCAACAGGATGTGCTGAAAATTTATAATTTATCTCTTTATGATTATGGTTTTTATGAAGTTGTTTATTATGATAGATCGGTTATTGATGGACTTTATGATGATTGTGTTTATGAAAGTTTATGATGACACACATCTTTATGATGATGAACTAAATCTTGAGGACAATAATAAGTTGTAAATTCGAGTTTTCTACTATGCTTGAGGTTGAGATGTTATTATAGATTAAGCCAGAGCTTATGTCTATCGAAGTGCCCAAGCCTGCTAAAAATGTGATTTAGCATGAGAGAGTGTGTTTCATGCAGATTCTGTTGAGATCGGATCCCTTGTAATTATTTTATGAGACATGCTAGTTTAGATGATTACAAATTGCTTCAGTTATATGAATCAGAGATTGAATTTGTGCTACTGTTGTCACAATCATTACCTGATTTATTGTTGGTCCACATTGCAAAGGTCTTCCAATTATATAAAGTTTGGAGCCTCCCAGGACCCAAGCTACCAAATCTTGTGCATTCGTTGGACTTCTTCCTCTTGTTATTCTTTGTACTGCATTGGTTTCCATTAGATGGTGGTATGTGCTCCAAAGGACGTCAAAGATATGGGTTCATTACCCACTTTTCTTTACATAGCTTCAATGTTTGCTCCCAAGTCATCATCGTCTCTTGTACTCATTTACAAAGCTTATATCCCACTTTTATTTAATATCTTCAATTGCACCTTTATCAATGTTTGATGCTCGCTACTCAATAGATCCCATTAGTGACCCCTAGGAGGTTAGCTAAATAAATGACTTAACATCTTCAAAAGTCCCCAGAATATTTCTAAATAGTAATCCAAAGAGAATTAGTATTGGACATGGTCATTATTTAAGTCACTGATAACGACTAGCCCCCCATGGTCATTATTTAAGTCACTGATAACGACTAGCCCCCCCCGGTCATTATTTAAGTCACTGATAACGACTAGCCCCCCATGGTCATTATTTAAGTCACTGATAACGACTAGCCCCCCATGGTCATTATTTAAGTCACTGAGAGGGCTTGCGGCTTGCCGGCTGCTGCGTCCAGGCCAGCGCCCACGTCCAGGACCTCTAGGCGTCCGACGGCCGCGCATGTTGGCACTGTGGCACCCACTTTCGGGTCGTGTCGGATTGACCCGAACCCGAAGCGAGTCGGGTTCGGGTCCGGAAAACCAACCCGTTTGTAAAAACGGGTCGGGTTTGGGTTGACCAAAACAGTATCGGGTCAGTTTCGGGTTCGACCTGAACCCGACCCGTGACCCGAAATTGACACCCTTACTTGAGGCATAACTCTAACCATTAAGGGAAAAGGTAAGAACAACTATCAAATTCTAAAAGATACATTATTCACAATGGTAAATAACAAGTTGACTCATCATACGATGTTATCCCTTAAGCTAGTCATGTTTTACACACCTTTATGCATGGCTGTATACTCAATTAGCAGTGATGCTTATGGCTCCTTCTACAAAATTGTTAACTAAACTAGTTGTGCCAGTCCTCATCTAAAAGCAATGCCTATGCCTCCTTATACACATTTGCTACTAAACTAGTTGCACTACTCACAACTCTTTTATAGGTTTGTCAGTCAAGTTCCTACATCTCAACAATCACTTCTTAATCGGTCACACCACTAACTAGCCTTGTTGCCTTGGCATATGCTATCTTCGTAGTCATCACGGCTTCCTAACTTTCAAAAAACTTCTAACCCATAAATAACTAGGGCATTCAAGGAAACTTTATTAGAAAGGAATATCAAGACCGCTAAGGCAGATGCTTCGTATTTTAGTTCAACAACTTCATTCCATAAGTCCATATCATTGGCTCAAGATCTCCTTTAAATTGTAGCCCTGAGGGAATTTTCATGTTTATTTTCAATGAGTGATGATAGTTAATGAGGATTTTGAATGAATTATCTATTTTATAAGACTTGCAATGAAAGGGTGAATGACAATGAGTTTTTAAGACCTTATTGTGATCCATTAAAACCTATTTCTACCATTTATCTTTGTAGTCACTGGTTGAATTGCTGCCCTTGATTAAGGCTGTGTATTGACCCTAAAAGGGTTATATTAATCCAAAGAGCATCAAAAGTTCATTCAGCATGTACGCTTTTGTGTTACAAGTTGATCCTATAATCTCTTGGTAGCAATGACTCAACATTCAATTGGCTGTTGCAGCTAGCTGCCGAGTAGTTCTTCTTTGGTGGATGTTTATGCAGGTGCTTGCACAAGTGTGGTCCCACCACGAGCATCCTCTAATTTTTTTTTTGAAGAATAACAAATTAGAAATCTGTTCAATTCATTCAAAAGAAAGCCCAAAAAGGGACTTCGCGCATACAAATCCAATGAGGCAAGCTTAAAACCCTACCCACTTAATAGGAATTATGCAAAATTGGAAGACTTTCATTAATACAACATTAGAATTAGTTATACAAAACAAGAACAAATCAGTGTGACACTCCTCTTCTAGGAGACGTAAAAGGCCTTAACTCACTTCTTGAGGTGGGAGTAAAGTGCTAACTCATTCTTTCCGCCTAGTGGGAGATGAACCATCGCTCTTCATTACATAGGTAAGGCTCTACTGAATAAATTTGAACTCTTATTCACCTCGAGTTTAGTCATTGACTTTTGAGTGCTAGTCAAGTTTGTGAAAACTAGATCAAACATCAAACTGTAAGGAGAGATTAATGTTCAATGGTCTGATTGGGGTTGAATCAAATGACGTAATAAATATTAAAATGATTTAAATTAGATATAAATGGCATACTAATTATATAATTATTGTGTTATTATCTAAATTTGTTACTACATACAAGTTTATAAAATTAATATAAATTATTTTTAAATTTATGTTATATGTTTCGGTATATATTACACTTATAGATTATATGCTAAATTCACATTAGAAATTTGCATCTATAAATCATCCAGGTTAGATAATTTGTAATAAATCAATAGATAAAAAAATTAGTTTATATTTAGTTATTTACTTCCACATTACTTGAGAACTTTGTCTTGCACGTGTTAGGAACATACATGTGGTGATGGGGCTATGTGAAAATGCTTAGTCGATTCTTGTTTGGTAAACAATATTTATAAAAATTTAATGATCATATTAAAATTTAAATATATTAAAGTTAAACTAATTTGTTAAATTTAATACTTTATATTAAATTTATTATATTAATTTATTTAATTGTATAAATGGGATAGCAATTTAATCAGCCGATTCTAAGAAACTGGAATCAATTCAACGATTCACCGGTTTAACAGGTGGTTTTGATTGGTTCAGACAGGGCTAATTTTTAAGATGAATTGAATTGGCCATATGACTAGTCCACGGTTGAACCTATCAAATCACCTAGTTTAGTTTGATTTTCATACCTATGATCCTAGTATTTCATTTGATAAGGGTCCTTGTAAATTACTTATAAGGTCACGGGTTCTAACGTTGCCTATGTCATAACAAATCTCATCTTGGGGTGGGGAAGAAAATCTCAGTCATTCACTTGAGTATTAGAGGGCCTTCTTGAGAACAATCCTTGAGTTGGTCTGTTAACCTCTTATTTTGTTGTTTATGTGCAACACAAGGTATTAGTCTTGAGATGACTTGTCTAACCAAATTCTACTGGCCTTTAAGGTGCTATTTGGGCAGAAAACAATATCCTTGCACGCCATAGTATCCTTTGGAGAATGCAAAAATTTTTGTAGGTTGCTTCCATTTTGATTTGGATGTCACTAGTTAGAATCATGCAAACTTCCTCACTATAGTGTGGGAGTAAGGTCAAGAATTTGCATCCTTCCTAAATCATTAAAAAATAGTAGCTGCTCTTTTTATACATTTCTTATATAATTTGATTATCCACCTTATTGATAAGAAATTTTCTTAATGGATGTTTCATTACTTTTTAACAAATTTGTGAGGTTTGTAGCTTTAATTAAAACAACGTTCAAGGCACCCGCCTTTGAGGTGTGCCTCAAATTGAGGTGCAAAAGGAGCGCTTCGAGGTTTAAGCCTCAAATATTCTAGTGAGGCATGTTCTTTTTTTTAAGAGAGGCACATTCTTTTTTTTAAACGAGGCACATCCCTCTAGGCTTAGAGCTTGGAGGCATTTTGAGGTAGCACCTCATTCAAAATAGAGTTTGTAAAAAATTATGTGTATTATATTATTATTAATACATAATACATATAACCTATTATATTACCGCTCTACCTGCGCATTCATTCCAGTGAACAACGATTGCACTAGGGCTCAAGCAGGATCGGGATGGGGAGGCTGAGAGCGAACTTCATTGTCTTCGTTGTGCCATCACATTCATTCCAACTTCGTTCCCATGCCTTCACTTTCATTCTAGAGCAGGCTAGAGTGGGAGGGATAAGGAGATCGAGAATGAACTTAATCTTCCTCCTTCGACTTTTTCAAGCAAGTGTCATCTTCTTCATCGTTGTGTGCACGCTAGCCATCACGGCGCACCAGATTTTGAGTGGATTTGGAATCGAGATCGAGAAGGTTGGACATGTGCCTAGCCTAGGTTAGTGAACTAAATTTTTTTTCCTCGACAAATTAGGTTGCTTTGCTCATTTTCTGGCTTATGCGAGTCAACAAGTTTTACTTTAATGAATATGATATTGCTAATTAGGTTGATTTCCATTGAATAATCCTGTTTATTTTACTCAAATGTGTCATACCCATTGTCTTTTTTAGCAAGGGATAAACTTGTTTGTTTGATTTCCTATGAATAATAAGTTCATTGACAAAATTGATTAACTAATTTTTTCTCTTCATTCTGCTCTTTCACTCATAATGAAGCTGTTGATTAGATAGTTAATTTGTTATTAGCAAATGATATGATTTTAGCTTGTAATGAAGCTATTGATTATATAGTTATTTTGTTATGAATTTCTTTTTTTCGTTGAGAACTTTCTTTGATATTTGTTCATGAAGTTTTAGATTTCGGCTTTTTAAAGCTTCTACACAAGTTTAATTTATTTTTATGGATATTTAAAGTTCAATTTGGTAGGATAATTATTCAAGTTATTGACTAATATGCTAATTATTTTTTATTGAATGGTATAATTGTTGATTTCATTGATTTATTAGAATATGTGGTGGCACAAGAAGAAAAGATCAAACTTATAAATATGACACTCAAGTTGAAGTGCTAATTTAATATGCAAACAAGGAGTATATTTATTTGAAATGTAATTTTTGTGAGGTGGATTATTGGAGGTGTCAAAAGAATTGAAGATCACTTGGCTTGCATACATGTAAATGTTGAAGCATGTGAAAAAACAGATGAATTGAAAAGGATTATGTTGAATATTTAAAGAAATATCTCATCTCCAAAGAAATTATCTCAAAGAATTATGAAGGAAATGACTCTTATTTTGGTTCCCAATATGATAGTTCAAGTACTGGAAGTCATTTTCTTTTTCTAATAGAGGAACTCGAGGGGCCCAATGGAGCACCTTTATCCAAATTCATACAAAGAGAAGGAATCAATTTGTTGCAAGACAATGAATAAGTTGGTTTATGTCATGTTAATAAAAAAAATTGAAAGATAAACACTTCAAATTACTGAGGTAAAGAGTTGGTGATAATGAAATGAATCATTTGGTCATTGATGATATACTCATGATGATGAATGGATAACACCAAAATAGTGAAAGATTTGAAGTTGAAGATGAATGAATGATGTTTGATGATGAGGAGAATGATGATATCAATATCGCCATTGAAAGAGCTATTGAATTTGGAGCAGCTTGTACTTTACAATCATTTAAAAGAAATAAGCAAATTGGGTTGGACCTTCCAAAAAATCAAAAGGTAATTTAAGTATAATTATGATGTTATTAATTTGTTGTTTATTTTAGTTTATATTTAGTTTAACATTAACTGAAATAGGGAGTAGGAAAAAAAATATTATAATTGAAGATGATTTTGAAGATGATAACTAGACAGACTTCGAGGATGATAAAAATATTATATTTGAGGACTCTTCTGTAGAATATGAAATTGAGGCTGAGGCTGTTATAGATCTTGAGCCTCTTGGGGTGTTTAAGTTTTAAGTGAGTGGTTAATGTGGATGTCATTTTAAAATTTTGTGTTATAAGATTTACAGTTCATATATTTATGATAATTACTCAAGTAAATAGGTTGATGGTTTATTTTATTTTTTTCATTTTATGAATTATTTGTAATTTTATAGGTTTTTTTTTTCTATTTCAAGGCTTACGACTTGCCTCCCGATTCGTCTTTTTAAACCTTGGTTTGTAGACCTCTTTCATTCAAATGTCTTAAAGATTAACGTGTTGGCCACATTTGAAATAAATGGGCTATATTTTTTGTGGGTTTTTATTTCTTCCTCATTTTTAGTACACATTTTTTGGATTTTCAAATCACTGTAAAAATTGATAAAACTTGATCCGTATGTCATGTAGTAGATGAAAAATGAATGGTGTGAAATTGTGTTTGATAGTCATTGATGTGGTTGGCTTCTAAACATTTCAAAGGACAAGCCCCTTTAAAAATGAACGAGCTTGACTGCATAAATGTCCTTGCTGAATCACAAATGATTTTTTAGTTTTTACCTTAGTAGCGGTTTTCATTCTTCTTGGATAAACTCTTTGGGGTGCAGATATTTGCACTGTGGTTAAGAGACTGATTAATACTGGCGTTGGTTGTGAATGAAACTACTTTGTGATAGAATTTTTATAACTATTTTATGGTTTGTTTTTCAGCATTTTTTATAGATGCTATTGTAGTTGTGACAAATTTTTTTAATAAAAATTTTCTTTTGAGAAGTTGGAAACGATTATATCTAGTGTCCACGTTCCGTAGAGATATGATAGTCTACTCTTTTGCTTTATTTAACAAATGCAAACTCCTTTTTTTCTCCTCAAGCAGGTTTTGAAACAATCAGTTTTAGATTACATCGAAGGATTTGATTCGTCATCTTGTGTGAGTTGCTTGTGTTGGCTTCCCTTCATCATGAAATTTGTATTCATCTCTCGGCCTCTCTAAGTCTAGCTTTTATTATCTTAACCTATTCCTTTTCTTTGGTGTGCTTCAGACTCTATTGCAGAGAGAAGAACTGCAGCAGCAGCATAACATTGGAGTTCAACCAGAGCTTTACAACAGTATTTTTAAGGCTGCAGCTGTAAAAAACGTTATCCCAGATCCAGATATACCTAATGGTTGTGATTCAAGTTTGTCAGAGTATGGCTGATTCATGAAATGCTAGGCTTATTATTATGGCTTTGTTTTTGTTTATTTAGAGTCATTTTCCGAGTAACATTGTATTTTAGGTTTAACACTCCAGCTGCTGGAACTAAACCCAGAATAGGCTGTGGAGACAAAGATGCAGGCATTACTGGTTTGCTACAGAACTTATCTCTTGAAGGGTTGGATCCCCAGTGGATTAGGCCAGAACCACCAAGACTCCCAGTGCTGGATGGAGAGGCAAGCCATTTCCTGTAGAACTATTTCTGATTGTTCTGAGTTACAATTGACTCTTCTCCAATTGTTTATACAGCTTGTGTGGCTCAATCCTGACAGTAGTCATGAGTTGTTATGGGATTATGGCATGTGTGCTGACACTAGCCGGGGAGCTGCTGTTAGAGATTTAATAGCAAAAGCCTTGAAAGGTCCACTTGCGCCTAGTCAACAAGAGGTTGCTTTCTCTGATGATTTGCATCATCTTTAATGAGTGCATTTTTTAGTATATGTCATGCCTTAAATTTGCTGCCATATTTTATATATGGTTAGAAAGTATTATAAATAACATTTTTATTAGATTTAAATGAGAAATTGACTCTTAATAGGGCACAATGGAGAAAAAAGATTCATATAGTTGACCTCATGTGGGATAAAGGCTTGTTGTTATTGTTGTTGTATGAGTATATGATAGAAAAGTAAATTTAGTTTCCAATGCTATTTTAGTAACTTGTCTAGGCCTTTATGCTAGGTGACGGTTCATTTCCAGTTTCAACTGATGCAATTTAAGCTTATTCCAGTTCATGTGTTGCTTTATTCAGGATGTTGCTAACAGTTTCTAACATTTCCACCTTGCTGTGCAGCAAGTACTTATTGAACTTAACAATGAACCTAAACTAGTTTATCATTGTGGGCTCACGCCGCGGAAGTTACCGGTATTCATTTTGTAGTCATCCATCCCATAAAACCTCTCCCCTATTAACATAAAAGGAAATAATAAACATTATCGCTTCAACTGAAGAGCTGCTGTCTTATCCTTAGGAACTCGTGGAGCATAACCCTCTCATTGCAGTAGAGTGTCTTATAAAATTGATGAATTCTCCTGAAATCCCCGAGTGAGAATTCATCTTTGTTTGATTTCCAGTGATTCTTATATTTTACTATTCCAAATGTTCACGCTGTCTTGGTGATGCAGGTATTTCACCGTCCTTGTGAATATGGAAATGAGTCTTCGTTCTATGGAAGTTGTGAATAGGCTTACAACCGCGGTTGAGTTGCCAACAGAGTTTGTGCACATGTACATTACAAACTGTATATCATCCTGCGAAAGCATCAAGGTTTTGCTCTTTTGAATGAGTTTATTTTTACTTAATTGACAGCATTCATTAACCCATGTAGTGACTAGAAACTGGCTTTGGAAGCATTCCATAACCTAAAGATGACCATGCTTTTTCGTCATTTTTATTCTGCCTCTCAGCGCTATAAAAGAATTTATATCCAAGTATTATTATGCTACCAATTTGTGAAGAGTACAGGTATTTTGTGTCGCGCATCTGCTATTGGAGCAGCAGCCTATATTTTTATCTTTTTTTATTCGTTCGATTGGGTACCTATTTGGAACAGAAATCATACAAGGAATTCCTTATAAAATTTTTTTAAGGAAGTTTTTGCCCCCACCCATTTTTCATTGAGATCTTCGTTCTTTTGGTAGGTCTCTCTTAGGTTTCGTTTGGGACGGCTTTCTTGTTGCTTCTTAAAGCCTATTTCTAATATAAAAAATTTAATTTTTTACTAAAAATCTGCTTTAAAAAGCAACAAAAAAAAAGCCATCTCAAACGAAGCCTTAATGATAAAACTTATAAACATAGACCTCAATTCCTTACATGAACTTTCATAAATTATTCTTGTAGAATTTTTGTCCATTTAGCTGTATGGTGTACCAGTTCATCAGTATATAATTGTTCACTTTTCTCATACAATTTAACTAATTAATTAAAGTTAATTCCCTCTCCAGGACAAGTATATGCAGAACAGATTAGTAAGATTGGTGTGTGTCTTTCTACAGAGCCTCATCCGGAATAAAATCATCAATGGTGCGCGTACAAATGCGTGTGTTCCTAGATTACTTTTTTATATTTTCTTGCTTGATGCTTTTTTTATATTAATACAGAGCATGTTCTTTGGGATTTGAATGCTACTACTAATATATGTTATTTTGCAGTTCAAGATCTGTTTATAGAAGTCCAAGCTTTTTGTATTGAATTTTCGCGAATTAGGGAAGCTGCTGGTTTGTTCAGGCTCCTAAAAGCCCTCGAGAATTCACAAGAGCAATGCAAATGTTAGCTGCATAGACTGAAATGTATTATACGCCTTTGGGTAAACATTCTCCAACAATCTGTCTAATTTTTTTTTTTTTTTTTACTGTTAGTTTTTGTAGGGAAGCTGCCATCTAGTTTTATGTAAGCACTAATGGGTGATATAACACCCCATCGCCAATGGTAGAATCTTCACATGCTAACTTCAGTCCTCTGGTTCATTTTTTTCTAGAATAGAGAGTTTTGCTTTTGTATTTTCATCCTTAGGTTATGATAATCATTTGCTTTTGATAACTAGGTTAGTCAAGAGATCATTCATTTCTTTCTTTGAACCGAATCTCAGCAGCATTTTGTCCTAGAAATAATTTGTGTTGGATATGTCATTTAATAATGTTTTTGGCGGTAGGTAGTGTTGAACTAAGGGCATCTCCAACAAAAAACCCCATTTTCCACTGCAAAATATAACAAAACTCCAAAATGCGATAATTCTGCTCCAATCTAACTCCATTTTGTGGGTTTCGTCGTCTCTAACTGTCTTTCTTCATTTCGAGGGCAAATTCCGTTGACACATAAAAAATTAGCGGGTAAATAGTGCGACGCCAATATTGGTGTGGCACTGTTCACCCGATATGAAATAGCAGCAAAATTGCCGCTCGGTTGGAGCGACGAAAGAATGGCAAACAATTGTTTGCCGTTCCATTGGAGATGTCCTAATGCTAAACAAGCAGATTCGTTAGTGAATGAACTTTCATGTTCCTTTGACACTTGGTAGATATTTTCACATTGATTTATATTCATTAGTGCTCAAAAGGTGCTCCCTTAAGTTTTAAAGTAAGCTTGTTTTCTTGATTTTTTTGCCGTTAACAATCTTACAATTTGAGGGCTTCTACCCTGAAAATGCATGGGAGAATCATGCCATCATTTTCTTGCGGAAAAAAATAGTGATAGGGTTTTCTCAGCTTTTTTTTTTTTTACAGGAGTAATTGGTTTGTAAGATTATAAAAGCAAGGTCATTAGTGATCTCTTGATTAATATTTAAAACTCCCAATCAACAGATCAAAATGATCTGCGTTGCTCTAATGAATTAAAAGTCAATGTCGAAATCGTTCTAATTGGTTTTATGTAGCACGTCATTTAATCTTAAAACAGAGTCTTTTTAGATTAATAGTAATTTTGCTTGACCTTTTGATAAGCATGTGTTTGCTATGAATTTGAAAAGGTTTATTCACTTTTTTTTTTTTCGTTCTTCTGAGATGGTAATGTATTATGATTGGCAATCCAATGAATCAGGTTTTACTTGGCCTGGCAATTGATTGAGCTTGGGGTAAACCTTGGTTTTAAAAGTTACAGATCATAAAAGCATTCTATTCCATAGGCCATTTAAAGACATTTATTTGGTTAAAAGTAGCATTAGCTTGAAAATTTGGAAACAAGTGTGGGCATGGGTTAGCAGGAATTTGATTTGTTAAAACTAATTTACTTATGGTAGAAGTGTAAACAAGTCGAGTTCAGGTAATCCTTGGCTTAAATTTGAGCTTGATTAATTAATTGAGTCCGAGTTCGAGCTTTATTTTACGAGTTCGAATTGGCTTATTTATTTTGAAAGAGAGAAAATGATTATAATTTAAGTAATTATTATTATAAAATTGTGAAAAGAATAAAAATTTAGAAAAAAAATAATATTTTTTAAACTTTTTGAATGTTTTTTTTACTTAAAATTCTAAGGGTTAATATATATTTTACTGTATTTTATACTAATATATTTAAATGTGCCAGCTTATGAGTTAATGAGTTGAGTCAATGTTGGCTCTTAAGCTCCAAGTTGGCTCATTGTCTCATTGAGTTTGACTTATGAGTCATTTATTAAGTTGAATTTGAGCTGGCTCACGAGTTGATTTAACTCACTTGCAACTTTAACTCAGTGTATGTTTTAAATCATTTTTTATTTTGTTTGAAATAATGGGGATGGTGCACTCCATTTAATGTATGTGCTTTAAAAATGATGTGATACATTGTCCTCCATAACTACTAGTGGAATATATAACAAAGGCATATTGAGGATGATTCAAGACTTGGGAGGTACATAGGGTGAAGGAGGATCATCAATGAAAATTTAGGTCACATTAGTCATAAGACACATAGATGACTAAGATTTCATCAATTCTCTTGGAAATCTTTGATATTTATACATTCCTTTCATTTTGATGTGTTGCAAGTGTTGCTCATACGACTTCAAAATATGTAGAAGAATCCATCACTTTTAGGTTACTATGAAGCACTCAAAGCAGGCCTTGTTAAATTAGTGGATGGTTTAAAAGTAAGATGTCATAATCATGATAGCTTTGGCAGCTTTGGCAGTTGTAGAGGTCACTAATGACCTTGCTCCTAGCTCATCTCTAGATCTCGAGATTGTAGATCTCTACGTTGATACAAATGAGGTGAAGAAAGCACATGTTGCGATGAAGGTGGAAGATAATGGGGGTAGTGATATGGAAGAAGATAGTGGAGGGGACCATTGAGGTTTATTGCACAGAAAATCACTATGTTTGTTTGATTTTTTCAAAAACTTCAATAGCAATAACCATTAATGTTGATGTCATAGGCTAAGATGATGCCAAGGGAGAAGAGGTTAATAAACTACATAGGCATAATAATGAGCCTTTCTTTATGGGGGATAATTATGAGGAGCATGCTATTGGAGAAGCAAAAGAAAATGTTATGGAAAAGATTTAAAAGAGGAAAAAAAGTGGACATGGCCAAAATAGTGGATGCTAAAGTTGTGGAGACATCTCTTAATTTTATAAGACCTTATTTTTACCTATGCTTTCTTATTTTATAAGACCTTATATGTACCTCGGGCTTCATAGAGTTTTTGCATGGATCTCCTTCCTAAACTTCATTCTACTATAAGCAAAGCTTCTTTCAAGGATTAGCGTGACAAGGAGTTTTTTGTACTATTTTATCAAAGACGTCACTTTAGCGGCATTCTAGTTAGGCAGGATTCTTTGATGTTGCCGAATCGATTGAAGAAATAGTTCTCTATCACAACATATTTCTAATTTAGGTTGCTAGACATAATGAATGGATATTGAACCTTGAATATGATACTTATAGATTAGTCAAAATTCCTACCTCCCAATTGACCAGATAGGTTGGCAAATTCATTCCTTAAAGTCAAGCTTGACCCAATTAACCCTTGAGACTTTAAATTGACCTAACTATCTTCAAACTTCAAATTAATCAATTTGAATGGATCTTATGTTCATAAAGTGACGTCCCTTGATGAAATATATCCTGACATAGCCAACTGACTCATCAATTGGACCAATTAAACTCAATTGACCCAATTTGACTTATTTGAACCCAAGTAGGTTAAAGAACCAAATTGAATATAAACATCAAATTAGCTTTATCCATTAGACATGAAGTCTATTGAGAATGCTTTATAAAACTATTTTTTTTAGTATAAAAATATCTGAAAATTAATAAAAAAATATTTGTAAAAAATTATCTCAAGTAAAGCCTAAATCTTTGAGCCTTCGATGCTCACATAGATGAAATTTTCTTTCTTTTTTTTTAATAAATTGATGAAGCAGCTGTTAGTCAAATAAAACCCTTAGGGGCTGTTTGCAACAAGAAAGATTAGCTTTAGTGGGATTTAGTAAATCTTGTAAATTCGAATTTAGTAAATCCTGTGGGTGTTAAATTTTGAAAATTGTTTGGTTTGTCATATGTAAATCTTGATAAATCATGAGAAACTATTTAACAACGTAATCTAGGATTTAAGGTGATTGATTATTTGGAAATTAAATTTAATGTGCTTTGAATTTTATATAATATAATGATAAAAATACAATTAGAAATAGCTTAATTATTATTAATTATCAAATTAATTATTGAAGTATTAGTTTTAAATTACTTCTTATAGTACTAATTATCTACTTATATTCTTAAATCCTAATTGATTAGTTACTTATTTTTTGAAATTATAAATCATTTAACTAATGCTCATATATATATAAACTAATGCTCATATGAATGATTAAATCAATTATTTAATTGAACTAAATTATATTACTTAATAATACTACTAATAAAACTACTAAGTACATAATAAATCTAATTTATTATTATAATTTAAATTATATTAATAATGCTAACTTAAATTAATTTTACTCGACCTATGTACCCTTTTGAATTAAAACATATTATCAAGCATTTTTGAATATATTTCAAATTATTTGAATTTTTTCTATTTTATTTAATAGTTTTTAGAATTATTGTAATATTAATAATAATTTTTTTTGGTAATAAGTAATACATTATTTGAATGTTACAAATATGTGATTATGAATCGTTTTTTTTTTGAAAACCAAAAATTTTTTTCCAAACCAAAAGAAAAACCAGTACAAAATACAACATTCAAAGATATAGCACGACGAGAGAGTGCATAAAAATACAGAACAAGAGGGCTAAGTTTAAGGCCGAGACTACCAGCTACCCTTAAGCTAAGCCCGGACCATCCAATTTGATGAAGAGATAGCACCCAAGTCAACACCAAAGGTTGCCACGGGATAGCCATAGGACAAGCGAGCCCCAACCACATCATTGCCCGGCCAAACGAAAAACAAATGGAGAGCTCGAATATATGCAAAGGCATCAAGCAACAATAAGTCAAAGTAACCACCCTCACCACCGAAACAACCAGACCATCCAATGCACAATCCTAGAAAATTGCACCCCAGAAAAATGCAACCATAAGGCAACCACCACAAAAGCCACGGCCATTACCGGCGACGTCTTCCCCTACCACGAGCTTTACCACGAGAAGCACCATAAACAAAAGGTTTATCACACAACAAAGCGAAAGGATTACCAGGATCGTCCGTGCCACTAGACTCAAAAGAGGAAACGAACTCCGAATCAGACGAAACATGAAGCCAATCCAAGTGCTTCCTCACATCCCTACCGGAATTGTTCCCCACATGAAAAACCAAGGCTTGAGGTTCAATTAATTTCACCAGCACATCGACACAAGCATTATGAATATCATCCACTCCCAAATTAACCGAAGAGGCACCAATCTGAGAAACAGGGGACAAAACCTTCATGGATCCAAAGAAGTCAGTTCGCTCAACAGCCATTGAAGGAGCAACAATTTTAGTTAAAACACACGATTCACTTAAAACTGGCAAAGAATTAAGTTCACCACCCAGCAAAGCGCCATTACTAGAACATCCCCGAACATCCTGCTCAACAACAGCCATGGCACCCACAGACACCACATGTGCATCATCAACAGTAGGGTCAACCACAGCAGGATTAACTACAGCATTATTAAAAGGAACTGCCACATGATTTAAAACTGTACCCAAAGGCTAAACAACAACAACATCAGCAGGCCCAACTTCATTCAAATCCGGGGCCGACACAGGGTTAGGAGAGACTCTACCCGAGACAACAGAGTCAACACCTAAACCTCCCTCCTTAGCAGTAGAGAGAAAACCAGGATCAGATGAGTGCACATCAGCTAAATCAACCCCCAACGAATGAGGAGGAGGCAAAGCAGAGGAAACAAGGTTAGGATTAGGAATTTTACAACTCGTTTTAGAATAGCCCAAGGCTAAACAATGCGCACAATACTCAGGAAAGTCTTCGAAAATGACATATTGAACATACCCAACACTATCCGGTCCAATCCAAATCTTGTTCGGATACTGCTTGGACACATCCAGTTCAACTAAAACACGAGCAAAAGAAGGACGCGAACCAGAGGAGGTCGCATTGTCCATCTTCAAGGGTTTACCAAAGATCTGACCTAAACCATGAAGAATACGCGGAGCGAATAAATGAGGCCGTAAGTTAGGGAATGAAATCCAGATTGGGATAATAGGTGATTCAACCTCCTCATCCAACGCAGGAGACCATTTAATCAATTTCATGAAACAATTACTTACAAAATAAGATCTATGAGCAAAGACCCGACAGTAATCCAGATCGTTAAAAAGTTTGATCAATACATTACACTGATTTAAAACTGTCACTGAAACCTCACCATTAAGCTTAAGCTTGAAGAAAAAACTCCTAATAGCTTCAAGCGAAGGTCTCCGACCAAGAAATTTACCAACCAAAGCAAGTTCAAACGGGGTAGCCAACGACGCGATTTCTGCTTCGGAAATCCACAGCGCTGGCAATCCCCTATGAGAGGAAACCTTGAGCTCGGGAAAACCACCAGAAAGAGGGGAAGAACCAGAAAGTGCATCTTTAAACGAAAGAGAAGACCAAGCCTCCAAAAAATCAGGATCACGAAAACGAGAAGGTGGCATAAAAAACTCAGATCGAAGAAGGACAAACTTCCCTGCAACAGGTGAGGAGAAGCATCCAACACTCGAAATGCCGGGAGGGTCGGCTAGGGCGATGCCCTAGCATCCCCCAGAGTGAGCGAGAGATAAGACGCAGCCTTCATTTTAGCATAATATTAAATCTAATATGATCCCTAAATTTAGACTTACATAGTCATGGACCAAATAAGCAAGTGGACAAGTGCTTGTGAATCGTGGCTGCAAGTGGACAAACATAATTGACTTGGCTTTGGCTGCCTCCATTAGTATGTATGGTGGATGCTCTTGACGAGTTTTTCTTTCGGATGAGTTTTCATGAGGTGAGTAACTCTTTTGGTTGAGGCTTGCTAAAGGGATTTTCTCACTTAGGTTTCGTTTGGGACGATTTTATTTCTGCTTCTTAAAGCAGCTTTTAAGTACAAAAATTAAAACTTTTGTACTAGAAAGCTGCTTTAAGAAGCAGAAAGAAAGCCTTCCCAAATGAAGCTTTAGTCAAATTTATTTGCGGTGTGTGCTTTCTTAGTTGAGCTTTACCTTGTCAAATTTTGATTGGGAATACCCTTATCTGAGCGAGAGATTATTGGATTCGGACACTGGACACATCTTACGTTTGGTACTTCAAAGTACCGAGCAAAGTATTGCTCGGTACTGAACAGTACCGAGTTCAGTTCTTCACAGTACCGAGCAGTACTGAGCTCGTTACTGAGCAATACCAAGCTCAAAATTGCTCAGTACTTCACAGTACCGAGCTCATCCCAAGCTCAGTACCTAGTAGGGGGTGATGTGACATATTTTTATTGGACACCGGACGACGCCGAAACCAATAATTTCCCTATCTGAGGAGGGCATGTATTGGACAATTGTTCCTGTTGGCCGAGCTCCTTTGAGTTGAGTTCGAATGGTCCCAACGAGTGGCTGTATCCGCATATTGGGGTGTACACTAATTTATCGAACTAATCAAATCTATGAATTTTGTGGCCCAAAACCAAATACCAAATGAAAATCTTATTGAATGAAATATTTCATTGAAAAGAAATTTATTCAATGTATTATGATATAATTTTTGATTATAATAGGCTTTGAAATTATTAGATTTGCTTTAAGATAATTGTTCTATATATATAATAAAAATCATATTGTATTCATTTTAAAATAAATTTAATAATATTTAAGCTCTTCTTAGGTCCTAATTCTATTTTTTTAATGTTAAATTCGAATGAAATATATACAAATTTAATTAATTAAAAATTATCCCCTCAATCAACATAAAATTAATTCCAAAAAGAATTAAGAACAAGTGACTGACACGCGAAGCTCACCTTCTTAATTAGTAAATTAACGGCGAATATTTAGATGAAATTTTATATGTTATCTTAAATATGATTAAAAAATATATCTGTAAAATATGCATTACAATTTCAACCTTAAATTTTAAAATATAATTTCATAATCATTCAATTAATTTCAAAAATTGAAGCTTTAAGCTGAAATTCGTAAAATTATTTTAAATTTTCTTCACAGGTTTCTATTTTCAATGATATAAAAACAAAAATACAGCTTGGATCCCTCTATTTTTTTTATTACATGAAGAAGAGTGGTACGTGATGGCCACGAGCTAAATTGCTATTGAAAAATAGGATAAATATTTGGATAAATAGTGTGAAATGTACATGCAAAGAACTTTTAATGAGCAAACTCTTATTTTTAAGTATTTTTTATTAAAAATTTATGTCTTATTGTAATTTATTATTATTTTTAATATTATAAGATATAAATCAGATAATTTTAACCTACTGATATTGTTGAATTCGGCTTCAAATTTTTAACCCATTTAATAAAAAGATATAGGCTCCATTAGAAACAGTACAAAAATTTCTAATAAAAAAAAAATTCTAAAATTAGTTTTAAAATCAATAAAAAAGCTGTCACAAATAAACTCATATTTTAAATTGATTTTATATAAATCGCTTTAATTTTAGGTCAAGTACGAATATTGAAAAAAAAAACCATGTTAGTAAAGGCTTCATTTGGAATAATTTTCTTAATACTTTTTACAATAGTTTTTTCAGTACAAAATTTTTAAAAAAATAATGACCAAAAGTTATCTCAAATAAAATTGTAGTAGGATGAAAACATATGAGGATGAGTTTTACAATTTTTAGATTTCCATAGTAATTAAAGCAATTATGGATTTCATATGTAACACTAATCTCAGTGCAAAGTCAAAAGCTTTGTAGCTAATCTTAGGTTTCATTTGGGACATCTTTTGTATTGCTTTCTATAACAGCTTTCTTCTACGAAATTTCTTATTCAAGAAATTTTTGTACTAAAAAACTATTTTAAAAAGCAGCAAAAAATGTCCCAAACGTAACCTTAATTTGTTTTATATCATGATATTCTGATACAATTTCATAGAAGAAAATGGTCTGTTATACCCTAAGCCAAAATTTTATTTAGGTAAACAAAATTTAGTGATAGAAATGTTCATTTTAGAATGAAAAAATCATTTATTTTTTATTTTTTATCTTTGAGTGAAATCAACTGATAAATCGTTTGGCTCACGTAAAAAATCTCTTTAAATTTTTAATGTTTAAAACCGAGTCGAAACTTTTGAAGGAATCCTTAGTAGCACCGACTAAAACTGTGAATTGAAAGTCTATCGAAATAATTTAAATTTATTCAATATTTGTTTTTTCTTCCCACAGCTGAACGCTTACGCAATATTTTAACAAGAAATTTAGTAATTTCAAAATTAACTTTGAGATGAAAGAAATATATAAAAGTTTACAAAAGCCTTTATTCTTCATTGTATCTTATTAAGACTTCCTTTGAGTTGAAATTATTCTCTGCGGATGCCCAACGCCTTCTGAAGACCAACAAGAATGCGCGACGTCACCCTTTGCTCGGTACTGAGCTCGATACGGCTGATGTACATGGAGCAGTCTGATTGATCTCTAGATGGTGAACTACATTCGGCGTCCGTACATAATAATCTCTATTTAAATTTGATAAAAAAATCATTTTTAATACTTTATAATCAAGCAATATAAAAAAAATCTAGGTCTAGTTAATTAAAATTTACATTTTATTCAACAAAAAATATATATATATATATATATATATAATTTATTAATTGATAAGTTGATAAATAGAGTGATTATATTGTATTTGTCTTGTTATTTGCTTATTTGCTTATTTTCAAATTTTTTTTTTAAGATGGTTTAAGTTTGGCTTGGATTTGAATGGATCAAAATACGGATAAATTTGAACAGGAGTTGAGTTCGAATAAATAAAAATTTGAATGACACATCGCAAAAACATATAAGAAGCTTGCTCAAATGTGGCTCATTTACACCTCTATATTGGACACAAAAGCCAAAAAAATAAAATAGAAGAATCACGTAGGAATTTGATTGAGTTAAAGTAAACTTTGATTGAGTTAAGGTTAGCTTCAAGTTAAAGTAGGAAAAGTGATCATTTTTTAGTTGAGTTTGATGATGGAAAAAAAAATATGAACTTCATCATCTTCATGAGTATATATACATTTTTTTAATGTGATAGTAATTTTTAGTATTTTTTTGTTATTTTTTGAATTAGAGTCTATAAATTAGGTCTTCATATTCAATTCATGTTAGGTTCACTATAGACTAAAAAATAATTTGCAACCCCCCAAATTATCGCAAAATGATCTCAAAAGGTTATTGCAATAGTGGCCACTAAAATGTTGATTGTAAAATATTTTGTGACAAGAGATTTAAGTCATAAATGTTTGTTGTGACAAGATTTTATCATAAATATGGTGTAACTATACACTCAATAAAGCGGGCTTTCCGGGCAATTTTTGTCACTAGTTCTAGTTATAGTTGCAAAAACTCTACAATTGAAAAAATAAAAAAGAAAATCCAATCATCTACATTGTATGCAGAACCCAATAACATGATAAGTAAAAAAATTGGTGAACTATTATGATAAACCATAAATAATTATACAATTCTAATCAAAACATATACCACGATGCAACCCAACATATGCAATAATTGTAGCAGCAATTTCAATAAAACATGATATAAAAACAAATTCAATTTACTGAAAAAAAGCTAGTAGTCATCAGCATCACCATCATCATAATAACATCTTTGTCAGTTTTCCTTGTCTTCTTCATCTTCATCTCCTCATTCTCGTGTTGCATAATCAATCGTCTATGATATTAGCTTCTTTTAGATTTCGGTTTGGTGGATGAGTACTCACTTCTCTCATTGGTATGACCTCCAAAATCATATATGAGGCTTTGGCCAGTCCACATGTTGCTTGCATCCATGCAGTAGAGTTGAACTCATGCTAAGTAGCAGTATCCACACAAAATTTTATAGTCATTACCACCTAATTTTTCTTTTGCATAAGTACATATTGTATATGTATATGTATATGTATATGAAAATATAGTATTTTAACTTTATTTTAAAAATTTAATTTTCAACTATGCATGTGAATGGTTGTTAACTCTACCATTTTTATGTCCCAAGTCCTATCATGAATGAGGAAAGTGGAGGGTTACGTTAGGTAGTCGATAGCCAGCATAAAACTTATCGAATAATCATGACATGATTTTTTTAGTACATTGTGTTAATGCTAGGGTGTTCTCTGGAAGCGACATGCTGTATAACATGAATGCAACGAAAAGTGTGCAAGGGTTGCTGCATCGGTGCCCATGTGTAGTATTAAATAGGCAAGGGTTCCCACATTATGGATGAATGTGGGCAAATAAGCTAGTCCATGAAACTAGAATTCAGATTGGATCTTAGAATATAGGTTCTATTACAGGACAAGTAATAAAATTAATTGATAGAAAATTAATGAAATTAATTGATATTATGATTCATATAAATATAAATATTTTATGCATTCAAGAAATTAAATAGGCTGGAGAGAATACTAAGCAAATTGATAGTTTATGATTTAAACTTTGATATTATGGAAGAAGTCATAATAGAAATGGTGTATGTGTGGTTATAGAGTTTAAAGGACAATTTTATAAAAATTGATAAAATTGAAAACATAATTATTACTTTGAAGATTATTGTTGATGCTAATATTATTAATATTATAAGTGTTTATGCTCATCAAGTAGGTTCGATATGTGCTCAAAATTAAAATTTTGAAATGACTGAAAATAATTAATACACAAGATTCCTCATGAAGAAAGAGTTTTTATTTAGGAGATTTAAATGGACATGTTGGTAGAGTTGTAGAGGATTTTAAAAATATTCATGTTGGTTATGAGTTTGGAGTGACTAATGAAGGTGGTAAGAAAAGAGATGAGCATCTCATCACTTATAAGAATGAAGATAATAAAACTTAGATTTATTATTTTTTTATAAGAAAAATAAATCGTTTAGATTGCAAAGATTCTAAAGTTATTCCGAGTGAAAGTTTACATACCCAACATCGCTTATTAGTTTTGGATTTTAAGATGAAGAGGAAAAATATAAAATTTTTTGTAAAACTTTGTTATAAGATTAGATTATGGCTTTTAAAAAATACTAATAAAATTTTTTGAGAGCAAGATTTAAGATATTTAAATTTTGTCTGTGTATGAGGAAGAAAATATTATGTGGGATAAAATAGATAGTAATATTAAGAATATTGTAATGGATGTGCATGAAGTTTTAAAAGAAAAAAGTTAGTAATAATAAAAATAGTTAGTGGTGGAATTAAAATGTGCAAGAAAAGATAAAAAAAATAAGAAAATTTATTATAATAATTGGTTTAGATATAAATGTTGCAACTCGGGATTCTGAGTTTATAATTTTGATGATAAAAAATATTATTGATTTTAATTTTATTTTTCTCAGTATTTGTAGAGCATATTTATTTATGTGTTGACTAACGTTTCAGGTACACCATGCACCATTCTTTAAAAATTCAGGGCTTAAGATTGGGTAGAATCTGTTATAATAAAAAAGTATGTAATTTTTATTTATTTATTTTTAATTTTTTAAGTCAACTCTTATAAGGGTGTATGTTAGCCTGGTGACCGTGCACACACACAAAAGGGGAGTATAAATGATTTTAAATATTTTAATTTTTTTGTACATCATATTATACGATCAAGATAGTACTAAACAATCTGTTATTATAGAAATTAATTAAAATATTTTATTTATCTAAAAAAATATTTTTGAAATATAATTAATCATACAGTATGAACACCATATCATATTGGATGATCTGCTATAATTAAAAATCCAGCAGTTTATTAAATTAGACAAAAAAATGAATTTGAAAAGTTATTATTTTTGTATTGTATAAATCTAATAGTACTGTACAATGTTTAAAATATTGTCTAATTTAATCTTATGATTATTCAATCAAATCTGTTTAATTTTGATATTTTTATTGTGCTGTACGAACTAGTTCATATTGTATAATCAACAGAGACGATTTTGGTCATTCCATGATTCATCATGGACAAACTACATTTTGGTTAAACTAATCGTACTACATGATCGATAATTCATACTGATGATTATACATTACTAACAGGCAATTAAATGGAACTGTTCATATTGATGATAATGTAGTACTAACATGTCAAATTCTGCACATTGTACTGGACAATCCTGAGATCGTACTGGACAATCTTGAGATTGTACTAGACAATCTTAAGATCGTACTGTATGATCTTTGACATATGAAATAATTTTTTAGGCTTTTTTGAAGCTCTCTATTTAAGATTTCCTTAAAGAGCTTGTTACTATATTTGACATGCATTGAGTATTTTTTTTTCTGGAGAAAACTTGAAGAGAGAACTTTAAAAGGGAGACAAGAAAGGATAGAGTTTGAGAGGGAGAAGATCCTTATGGGTTTCAAGGGAGCGTGGAGGGGGTTTCACATGGTTGCTCCGACAAGCTTGCATCTTAGTACCATCAGATTCATGGTTTACGTGATAAAAATTTTGGGAAGAAGAATATTTCTTTGGTGTTAAAGGACCTGGCTACTCCACCGCACAAAGGAAGGTGAAAGTGATTCATGATTCTTTGCCTCACCAGGAGGGTGAAAAGGAGTCAACTGATAAATTGTTTGGCTCACGTGAAAAATCTCTTCGAATTTTTAATATTTAAAACTGAGTCGAAACTTTTGAAGGAATCCAAAGGAGCACCTACTAAAATTGTGAATTGTCTATCGAAATAATTTAAATTTATTTTTTCTTCCCACAATTGAACGCTTATGCAATATTTAACAAGAAATTTAGTAATTTAAAAATTAACTTTGAGATGAAAGAAATAAATAAAAGTATACAAAAGCCTTTATTCCTCATTGTGTCTTATTAAGACTTCCTTTAAGACGGCTTTCTTACTACTTTTTAAAGAAGCTTTAAAGTTTTGTACTAGAAATCTGCTTTAAGAATAAAAAAGTCATCCCACTAAGAGTCAAATTCTCATTTGAATTTGATTAAAAAATTTATTTTTGATACTTTCTAATCAAGCAATATATAAAAATCTAGGTCTAGTTAATCTACTATGATGGCGATAATTAAGTTTTTAGTTTTTACAAGAGCAGCTACAATCTCACGCGTTGTCTACATTTTTTTTTCCTTTTAATCTGTATTATATATATATATATATATATATTGTGATAGTAATTTTTAGTCATTTTTTGTTATTTTTTGAATTACTATAAATTAGTTCATCATATTCAATTCATTAGGTGTACTATAGACAAAAAAACAATTTGCAACCCCCAAATTATCACAAAATGATCTCAAAATGTTATTGTAATAATGGTCACTAAAATGTTGATTGCAAAATATTTTGTGACAAGAGAAGTCGGTCATAAATATTTGTTGTGACAAGATTTTATTATAAATATGGTATTACTATACACCCAATAAAGCGGGGTTTACCCATTTTTTGTGACTAGTTCTAATCAGAATTGCAAAAACTCTACAATTGCAAAAATTAAAAAGAAAGTCCAATCATCTACATTGAATTTTGGTACAAATTCACATGAATGCAGAGCCCAATAACACGAATAAGTAAAAAAATGGTGAACTATTATGATAACCCACAAATAATTATATATTTCTAATCAAATTAACAAATACATACCATAATACAACCCAAACATATGCAAAAATTGTAGCATCAATTTCATCAAAACATGATATAAAAACAAATTCAATTTAATAATAAAAAAAGCTAGTAGTCATCAGTACCAGCATCAGCATAATATCATCTTCATCATCTTTCTTTGTCTTCTTCATCATCATCTCCTCACTCTCTTGTTGCATAATCAGTTGCCTATGATATTAGCTTCGTTTGGTGGTTGACTACCAGCATCTCTCATTGGAATGACCTCCAAAATCATATATGAGGCTTTTGGCCAGTCCACATGTTGCTTCCATCCATGCAGTAGAGTCGAACTCATGCTAAGTAGTAGCATCCACACCAAATTTTATATTCATTGCGCCTAATTTTTTTTGCATAAGTACATTTATGTATATGTATATTTATATGAAAAGTGCTTTTTTAGAAGAGGATATTCAATAAGGTGGATGAGATATTTTGCTAAACTTTTCAATGAAGATTGTGAGAATACGTTTGACTTTAGTGACCCTAACACTTTAAATGAAAATAGAGATTTTTATTTTTATCGAAGTATTAGTAAAACTGAAGTTAGAGAGGCTTTAAAGAAAATGAAGCGTAGAAAAACTAGTAGACCTGACGATTTTCCAATAGAGGTGTAGACATGCTTAGGAAAAGAAGGAATATCTTGTCTTACTAAACTTTTTAATATTGTTTTGAAGACTAAAAAGAACCTTGATGAGTGGAGAATAAATGTGATGCACAAGATTGTGAGAATTATAGAGGAATTAAGTTGGTGTGTCATACTTTAAAACTTTGGGAGAGAGGTAACGATGTGGTATTAATGTTTCTCAAAATCATTTCGGATTCATGCCAGGTAGGTCTATTATGGAAGCTATTCATTTATTGAGAGGGTTGATGGAGAAGTGTAGAGAAATTAAGGAGGATCTACATATGTTATTTATTGATTTAGAGAAAGCATATGGTAAAGTTCCATGAGAAGTGCTATGGAGAGTTCTAGGAAATAAAGGGGTTAATAATGCTTATATTCAAGTCATTAGAGATATGTATGCAGGAGTTGTTACTTTTATTCAAACACTAGGTGGTTTGACCAAGTATTTCATACTTCAGTTGAATTACATCAAGGATCAGCCTTAATCCCTTATCTTGTTTTTCTTAGTCATGGATGTTCTCACTATACATTTACAAGATGATGTACCTTGGTGTATGTGGAAGCCAGTTTTCTTGTTTTTACCTCCAGGATCATCTAGGACGAAGTGGGATCATCCTGGGATGATCAGTACAGGATCTGTGAACTGGGAGGTTCATCCCATGACGAAATTTGGTTCGTCCGTACGAAGGTTATCCAGAGAGCAAGTCGTCTAGGAACGAATACACTTCGTTTAAACGAAGCTTGTCCAGAGGGAAAATTGTCCCGAAATGAATAGGATTCGTCCCGTATGATCTGCATGTGTATATATTGGATTGAGATATTTTTGAAGAGAGAGAAAAATGAAGGAAAAAGGAACATTCTGCCTTCGCCATCGTCGTAGTTGGAAAAGTTGACTGACTCGAGGTAAGACACATTCTGTCTTTCTAAATTTTCAGAAATATGGATTTTGAAGACTTTTCTGTTTCGAATTCAATTTTCGTTAGCCAAAATATGATATTATTTCGTACCAGTGAATACTTTACCGTGTAACTTTTGGTATATTTCTGAGACGATGTTTTTGCACATTTTGAGTATTTTCTAGAAGATTTTCACCAGGTATTTTGAATTCTACTGTGTTTTTATCGAATAACGAATTATCTAGATATTGAAAAATTTTTTGTGAGTACTATGAAAGTCTTGAAATGATGTTTTCTGCTCTGTGGTAATTTGGTAAATTTCTGAAATTGTGAATTATGTAGAATTTTTGTATACTGCCGTTATGCCGCTGACAATTTTTTTGATGAAATTTGATTTCTGAATTTGAATGGTTTGATGTGCTGTGATATCAGAAGAGAGTTATAAGGGGTCGGAATCCTTTGTGATTTCGTTGTCTGGGTTCGTGAATCTGAAAATAAGTTATGTTCTGAAAATTCTGTATATCTGTCAAGTTCTGATGCTGTAAGCACAAGGGAGGCATAAGGGGTCAGAATCCGTTGAGATTCTATCTGTGTCAGGGAAGAGAGGCTTAAGGGGCCAGAATCCATTGAGATTCTGTCTATGTCAGGGAAGGGAGGCATAAGGGGCCAGAATCAATTGAGATTTTGTCAAGGTCCGGGAATCTGATATGTGATATCTGATATGTGTTATATGATATGTGAAATGTGATTTTATCTGATTTGTATGATTCTGTTTGTTCTATACGATTCTGTCTATTCTGTGAAATCTGACTTGAATATTCTGTTATATGAAATGAATTTCGTTTGTGATTTGATTTTTGTTTGCTCAAGTATCTGTATTATGTCTGCTTATACAATTTCTGCACGATTATCTGAATTCTGTAAGGCTACTCTTCTGATGTATTTTCTGATGCGTGTTTCTAGAGATTTTGATTGACTAGTGTAGTCTTGCTGAGCTGTTAGCTCATCATTATTATATGCGTGGTTTTCAGGTTCTGGGAAAGAGATGGAAGTCTTGGACTAGCCGTTCAGTGTTGGATCAGTGATTAGGTATTTTATACTTTTGATTTTTGTACAGTCATTACTTTTCTATTCTGTTCTTTCTGTCTATAGCCATGAACTATATTGTACATGATTATTTTGATGAATAAAGAAAATATAGGTGAACTATTATATATATTTGATGTTTATAGTAGCTATGTATTTTCTATAAGTTTGATATTTGGAAGAAAGTCTGAAGCAAATTCCAAAGCTAGATCATGGATATTTTCAATTCCGTCGCGGCCCGACGCGAAGGGATTCGTTCCGGTCGGGTTGGGTCGTGATAATTCTTAGTGTTATTAGAGAAATAGTTTTGAAATTTGGATTAAAAGACAGATATATAAGAATTGATTTGTAAGTCTGTCCTGGTAGTTCTGGTTTGCTTGGATTTTAATTATTGTTGTTTTATATGCATGTGCATAGTTCCATTCTGTGTGATTATGGATCTGCTAGATCCAGATATGATTGATGGGCAGAGTGCTAGTCAGGCAGCTCCTATGAGCAGTACTGCCCCAGTGGTTGGTTCTGATACAGTTTCGTAGTTTTCTATGTTGGTTGCTCAGATGATGAGCGAGACTCAGAATAGAGTATCTACTGTTCGATTTGAAGATGCAGATATACATCTACAAATGTTTCTGAGATTGAAGCCTTCGAGGTTTGAGGGCACTGTTGAGCCTAGAGCAGTAGAGGATTGGTTGAGGAGGTTGGAAAAGACATTTGACGGTATGCAATATCCTCCGGATAGGAAGGTACCATTAGCAGTTTTTCTGTTGGATGGCGAGGTAGAGCGCTGGTGGATGGGCCAGCAGGAGGAGAAATTTCAAGGTAAACTGAACTCTTTGATTACTTGAGAAGAATTTTCTAAAGTATTTCGATCTTGATTTGTACCCCGTTCTGCAAGACAGCAAATGCAGGAGATTTTTCTGAGGTTGGTTCAGGGGAGCGGGACAGTTATACAGTACGAGGCAGAGTTTACTGCTTTGGCCTGATATGCTCTGCAGTTGGTGAGTACTTCTGCTGAGAAATGCTATAGATTTTCGAGGGGACTACGAGATAGTCTGAGGCAACCCCTGAAACCATTTCATATTTCTAATTTCTCTGAGCTTGTGGAGAGAGCTCATTTGATAGAGAACGATCTGATGGCTACTCAGCAGCGGTGGACTGCTAGTAAGAAGAGGTTCAGTGGTGATGCTTCTGGCAGTGATTTTTCTAGAAAGAAGAGATTTGTTTTTGGAGACTCCAGGAGGAGTGGAAAGTTAGGGTCCACTACTATTTCTGGTAGTGGTAGTGTGACCAGTTCTGGGTCAGTCAGTGGGGCACCTGTGTGCCAGAGTTGTGGACGAAGACATTTTGTCCAGTGTTACAGGATGAATGGTCATTATTTCAGATGTGGTCAGCCAGGACATCAGATAGCAAAGTGTTCACATGCTAGATTTGATCGACGATCTGAATCTAGATCTGAGAGTTTTGTTAGACCTGCCGGTCTAGCAGGAAGGCCGATGACAGTTCCTCCATGTACTATTTCTAAAGGAGGATCATATGGTAGAACTGGTGGTTCAGGTTCTGTAGCGAGGAGACCACCTAGTGGAAATCAGAGGGAGCCTAGTAGTTCTGTAGCTTCAGCTCCAGTTCAGCTACGTGTGTACAGCTTGAATCATCAAGAGGCTCGAGATGTTCCGGATGTAGTGACATGTATGATTTTCATTTTCGAACATCCCTATCATGTTTTGTTTGATTCTAGAGCCAGTCACTCGTTTATTTCCGAGCGTTGTTTTGATGCTTTGCATTTGGATTCTGTTATGCTACCTGTTTCACTTTCCGTTCTTTTGTCGGCTAGGAATAATTTGATTGTCCGGAAGTTTTGTTTTTGTGAGATTGATATTTCTGGCAAGAAATAGAAATCGTGTTTGATTTTATTGCCAATTTCTTCGTATGATGCGATTTTGGGTATGAATTGGCTGAGTTTGTATGAGGCTCAGATTGACTATTTGAAGAAATGAGTTAGCTTATTTATGGATGGTGAAAGGTGTGTATTCCAAGGGTTAAGATGTGTTTTGTCATGTTTGATTTCTGTGTTGGAAGTCAGAAGAATGTGGAAGAAGGGTTGTACGGTGTTTTTGGCTTCAGTACGAGATATGAATATAGATACAGGTTCTATTTCTGATATCTCAGTTGTGCGAGTCTTTTTAGATGTATTTCCCGAGGAATTGGTTGGATTATCTCCGGATAGATATATTGAGTTCTGTATTGATGTTTTTCTGGGTACAGCTCCAATATCTAAAGCTTCGTACAGGATAGCACCGAAGGAACTTGCAGAGTTGAAAGTTCAACTTTAGGAGTTAGTGGATAGAGGATTTATTCGTCCTAGTGTTTCTCCTTGGGGAGCTTCTCTTCTGTTTGTGAAGAAGAAGGATGGGACAATGCGTATGTGTGTTGATTACAGAGATCTAAATAAAGTCATAATCAAGAATAAGTATCCATTGCCACGGATTGATGATTTGTTTGATCAGCTTGCTGGATCTTCTGTATTCTCAAAGATTGATTTAAGATCTGGATACTATTAGGTGAAGGTGAAGGAAGCTGATGTGATGAAAATAGCTTTCAGTACTCGGTATGGAAACTATAAGTTTTTGGTTATGCCATTTGGGGTAACCAACGCACCGGCTACTTTTATGGATCTGATGAATAGAGTGTTCAAGGATTACCTGGATCAGTTTGTGATCATCTTTATAGATGATATTTTGGTATATTTTGCTTCTGAGGAAGATCATGCCAGACATTTGAGGAGTGTGTTGGAGATGTTGAGGCAGCACCAATTGTAGCTAAATTTTTTAAGTGCGAATTCTGGCTGAAGAGCATTTCTTTTATGGGGCATGTGGTAAGCGATGAAGGTATTTCTGTTGATCCCCAAAAAATTCATGCTGTTGCCAATTGGCCAAGGCCTACTACAATATTTTACATACGTAGTTTCTTGGGTATGATCGGATATTATAGAAAGTTTGTGTCTCAGATTTCTGCACCTCTGACAAGACTGACTCAGAAGTCAGTAGCTTTTGGTTGGACAACAGAGTGTGAAACTAGTTTTCAGAGATTGAAGGATTATTTGACTTCTGCTCCAGTGTTAGCACTTCCATCTGGTACGGAAGGATTTCAGACATTCGGTGATGCTTCACTAAAAGTTTTGAGTTATGTTCTGATGCAGCATGGTCAGGTAATAGCTTATGCCTCAAGAAAGTTAAAATCACATGAAAAGAATTACCTGACGCATGATTTTGAATTGGCTGCGGTTGTATTTTCTTTGAAGATTTGGCATCATTACTTGTATGGCGTCAGGTGTGAGATATTCACGGATCATAAGAGTTTGAAGTATATATTCACTCAGAAGGATCCGAATTTGAGGAAAAGAAGATGGCTTGAGTTGATCAAGGACTATGATCTGACGATTCAGTATCAGCCTGGTAAGACTAATGTGATAGAAGATGCTTTGAGTAGGAAATCATCTGTACTATCATATGTTCAGCTCACTTCTGATAAATATCTGATACGAGACATGAAAAGATTACAACTGGAGGTGATTTCCTCTTCTGGTTTGGATGCTGGCATTTTGACTCAGATGAACATTCAGTCTTCTTTGGAAGAGAGGATTCATGAAGCTCAAAAGTCAGACTCCGAATATTTGAAGTTGATTGCTCATATTGAATATGGTAAGAAACATGAACTACTACTTTCTGATTATGGTATTATTTTCTACAAGAATAGATTATGGATTCTTATGTTTGGAGATTTGAGGAAAGAGATTCTACACGAATCTCATCATTCAGGCTATACTATTCATCCAAGAAGTGGTAAGATGTACGGAGATATGAAAAGTTTTTTTTGGTGGCCTGGAATGAAAAAGGACATAGCAGAGTTTGTTTCGAAATACGAAGCCTATCAGTTAGTGAAGGCAGAGCATCAGCGACCAGGAGATCTTTTAGAGTCGTTGCCTATCCCTGAGTGGAAGTGGGAGGAGGTAACGATGGATTTTGCTATGGGTTTTCCTCTATTAAGGCAAGGGCATAATGCTATTTGGGTGATTATCGATCAATTGATGAAGTCTGCACATTTTCTCCCGATTAGACAGACGGATCCGGTGGATAAGTTAGCTTAGCTATATGGATGGTTTACTTCCAGTCTTTGGAAGGGTATTCAGCAAGGATTGGGTACGAAGTTGCATTTCAGTATAACTTTTCATCCACAGACTGATGGATAGTCTGAAAGGACTATTCAGGTACTGGAAGATCTTCTGAGGCTATGTGTTCTGAATTTTGGAGACAGTTGGGAAGATCATATCCCTTTGATAGAATTTACTTATAATAATAGTTATCAGTCCAATATTGGTATGGCACCTTACGATGTCATGTATGGCAGAAAGTGTAGAACTCCTTTGACTCTGACTGAGATGGGAGATAGACAAGAGATGGGTTCAACTTTTATGAATGAAACTGTTATGAAAATCAATCTGATTAAAAAAAAATGAAAGCTGCCCAAGATAGACTATAGAAGTATTACAATCAGAAGCACAAACTGGTTGAATTTCATGTGGCGACTTTGTGTATGTCAAAGTCAGTCCGATGAAAGGCATCAGTAGATTTGGAAGAGTGAGCAAGCTCAGTCCAAGGTATGTCGGACCTTTTGAAATCATCAAAAGGATTGGGAATTCTGCTTATAAATTATTATTATCTGATCAGATGTCTGATATACATAACGTGTTTCACGTATCCTCTTTGAAAAAGTGGATATTTGATTTTGAAAAGAAACTTTCTGCTGATGATGTGGAGATTCAGGAGAATCTGCAGTACAAAGAGGAGCCTAAAAAAATTTTAGCTTATGATGTGCGCAAGTTGAAAAGTAAACAAATTCATATGGTTAAGATTCAGTGGAAACATAGAATAACAAGAGAGGCTACTTGGGAGAAGGAGTCGGATATGAGACAGTTATATCCGCATCTGTTCTGACTCAGTTTTATTTTAGAAATGTCGAGGACGACATTAATCTGAAGGTGGGGAGATTGTGGAAGCCAGTTTTCTTGTTTTTCCCTCTAGGATCATCCAGGACGAAGTGGGATCGTCCTGGGACGATCAGTACAGGATCTGTGAACTGGGAGGTTCGTCCCAGGACAAAATTTGGTTCGTCCGTACGAAGGTTGTCTAGAGAGCAAGTCGTCCAGAAACGAATACACTTCGTTTGAACAAAGCTTGTCCAGAGGGCAAATCATCTCGGGACGAATAGGATTCGTCCCGTATGATATGCAAGTGTATATATTGGATTGAGATATTTTTGAAGAGAGAGAAAAGCCCAGGAGAGAGAAAAATGAAGGAAAAAGGAGAAAAAGTAGATTTTGGGTGATTTCGGTCCATTTTCGTTCGTCACCGTAGTTCGAAAAGTTGACCGACTCGAGGTAATGCATATTCCGCCTTTCTTAATTTTTAGAAATATAGATTTTGACGACTTTTCTGTTTCGAATTCGATTTCTGTTAGCCAAAATCTGGTATTATTTTGTACTGGTGAATATTTTACCGTGTAACTTTTGGTATATTTTTGAGACGATGTTTTTGCACGTTTTGAGTATTTTCTAGAAGATTTTCACCAGGTATTTTGAATTTTGTAGTGTTTTTATTGAATAGCAAATTATCTAGATGTTGAAAAATATTTCGTGAGTACTATGAAAGTCTTGAAATGATGTTTTCTTCTATCTGTGATAATTTGGTAAATTTTTGAAATTGTGAATTCTGTGGAATTTTCGTATACTACCGTTATGCCGCTGACGATTTTTCTAACGAAATTTGATTTCTGAATTTGAATGGTTTTATGTGCTCTGATATCAAAATGGAGTTATAAGGGACCGGAATCCTTTGTGATTCCGTTGTTTGGGTTCGGTAATCTGAAAATAAGTTCTGTTCTAAAAATTCTATATATCTGATAAATTATGGTGTTGTAAGCACAATGGAGGCATAAGGGGCCAGAATCTGTTGAGATTCTGTCTGTGTTAGGGAAGGGAGGCATAAGAGGCCAGAATCCGTTGAGATTCTGTCAAGGTTCAGGAATCTGATATGTGAAATGTGATTTTATCTGATTTGTACGATTCTGTTTGTTCTGTACGATTCTGTCTGTTCTGTGAAATCTGACTTGAATATTCTGTTATATGAAATGAATTCCGTTTGTGATTTGATTTCTGTTTGCTCAAGTATCTGTATTTTGTCTGCTTATACGATTTCTGCACAATTATTTGAATTATTTACGGCTACTTTTCTGATGTATTTTTTGATGTGTGTTTCTGGAGATTTTGATTGGCTAGTGTAGTCTTGCTAAGCTGTTAGCTCATCCTTGTTATCTGCGTGGTTTCCAGATTCTGGGAAAGGGAATGAAGTCTTGGACTAGCCATTCAGTATCTGATCAGTGATTATGTATTTTGTACTTTTAATTTTTATACAGTCATGTCTTTTCTATTATGTTCTTTCTGTCTGTAGCCATGTACTGTATTGTACATGATTATTTTGATGAATAAAGAAAATATAGATGAACTGTTATGTATATTTGATGTTTATAGTAGCTCTATGTTTTATGTAATTTTGATATTTGGAAGAAAGTCTGAAGCAAATTCCAAAGCTAGATCCTCGATATTTTCAATTCCGTCGAAGCCCGACGCGAAGGGATTCATTCCGGTCGGGTTGGGTCGTGACAGTGTATGCTTTTTTATTGATGATATTCTTCTTGTTGATAAGGCTAGAGAGGGAGTTGAAGGTAAACTCGAATTATGAAGGTCAAACTTAGAGTCTAAAGCTTTTCATTTGAGTAGATCTAAAATTGAATACATGGAATGTAATTTTAGTAGTAATTGATCTAGTGGGTGGTTTGTGACTTTGAGTGATCAAGTCATTAATAAGTTTACTCATTTTAGATATCTTCGGTCTAATGTTCAAAGTAATGGTAAAATAGATGGGGATAATATTAGTAGAATTCAAGTTGGATGGTAGAAGTGGAGGAATGCTTCAGGTTTGTTGTTTGATAGAAAAGTACAACTCAAACTTAAGGAAAAAAATTATAAGATGGTGGTGAGACTTGCAATGCTTTATGGCACAAAATGTTGATAATAAAAAGAGAAGCATAATATTAAGTTAATTATTTCTAAGATGAGGATGCTCAGGTGGATGAGTGGACTTACTCTTAGAGATAGGATACGAAACAAACATATCTGAGTAAAGGTTCGAGTAGTTGTAATGATAGATAAGATTAGAGAGAGTCGCCCAAGATGGTTTGATCATGTAGAATGTCTGCCTTCCGATGACCCTGTAAGGAGAGTAGATGTATTAGATTTAGCCTATGTTAAGAAATATAGAGGTAGACCTAAAAAGACTTGGTTAAAAAATATTAGAAATGACATTTCTTTATTAGAATTAACTAAGAATTTGACTCTTAACAGGAAAGAATGGAGAAAAGGATTCATGTAGTCGACCCTATGTAGTGGGATAAAGACTTGTTGTTATTATTGTTGTTGCATGTGAATGGGTGTTGATGTAATCATTCATGATTTTCTTGTTATGCATTCTTTGGAAGAGCTTAGTTTTTTCATGTGGTTCTTCCAATTATTTCTCATATAATGAATAACAAAAATAAATGACAATTATTATAAAATTTCTTTTTACCTATTTTCATATTTAAAATTGTTGACCTATAACATAAAAAAAAAAAATCTCAAATCTCGCTCGCCCAGACGTCCTACATCAAGCTCCGCACATTGTCGACGAAGCTCCCACGATATCTCCTATGCGTCGTTAAAAGGGCGAAGAATTGAAGTATTCGGTAGCTCGCTCTTTCCCATCTCCTCCTGCGTTTCTTCTTCCTCCCTCACGCGTAAGCCCCAGTCAAGAGATCTCCTTCCTCCCTTAGTCGAAGAGCCCTCTTTAGCCTCTAGACCTTGCCAACGTCAAGCGACTACCCTAGATAACATTGCCGACCCCGATCTTCACCTCCTTTATCGACCTTCTATTGGACTAGAAGTAACAACTGGAGTTCACTTGTTGTGAAGGTAACAATCTTCCATTTACACACTTCTTCTGCTAAATCCCTAAGTAACAAGAGGAGAATGAAGGATTTAACTCATGGAGAGTTTTGACTGTTGCCTAAATCCTATTAAATCCTACATTAATCCTATTTAATTTGACTCAAAAATCTAATTAATTATGATTATTCATGATTAATTTTTGTTAATTTTAAATAATTAATAATAATAATTAATTATGATTAATTTTAATTAATTGTATTTAATTATTTATTTAATCTTAATTAATAGCTATTTATAATGGACCCCTTATACGCGCTCTTGTAGCATGGTGGGAAGGAATCTGGTGCGACGGGTGCGATGAGATGGGTATGCCCGATACACGCTCTTGTAGCGTAGTGGGGACAGCCTTAAGTACCATGTTTTGACATCGCCGACACAGTTCTCGACCTCGACATCAGCACCGCCGATACTGCTATGCAAGGTATAATATTCCGAATCCCATTTTTGACGTTTGTGGTGGATCGGAGAACCACCTATATACACTCTCGTAACATGGTAGGAGGGAGCTCAGTACGAAGCATACAGCGAGGTGCGCAAGCCCTATACATGCTCTTATAGCATGGTGTGGAAAGCCACTCATGTTTTCATATATATACTTTGAAGCCCCCATACACGCTCTTGTAGTGTGATTGGATGAAAAGATGTACGGCCCGGTGTCCCCCGATGCCTACCATACACGCTCTAGTAACATGGTGGGATGGCCCAGTTCATCATATCTCCCACAAACAGGGGATATACCGGGATGCTACCAAAATTTACGCTGAAGTACACAAGACCTGAATAATAAAGAAAGACTTAACTTAAGCAGTAATACAGAGTACTTGTACCTGAACATGAATGCACAGAACTTGAACAGATGCACATGAGACTTGTATAACAGGGGACCTGAATTGAACAACAGGGAACATAACCTTTAATCTTAAAATGCATAATGAAGATTAAAATGAAAATAATAAATGCATTCAAATGAATATAAGCAAACAAGCAGGTGACTTGTAACGAATCAGACCTTGATGCATATAGACAATGAATAATGATCAATTTACAATAATCACAAATGAATAGCAATCATCAGAACCTATGAATACATAAGACAAGATGCACAATGAATGATGCTGATGAATGCAACAGACTCCTACAACAATCCCTATGAGGGAAAATGCACTATACTTGCAAGCAATAGCAATCAACTTCAAAATGCATGAGTATCCCCCTTATGCATTAATTAAGGCCTTGATGAAAGAAACAACAAACTACTGAATGTATGGATGTCTCTCACATGCATTAATGAAACAGAGCTTGTAAATTGAGATGGAAACACTGGCAATTGATAATGGAAGACCCATCACTGCCAACAAGTATATAAAAACCACAAGTGAACGGTGAAGGTGGACATGAAGTAAATGCAATAAAATCCTACAATAGTTTCCATACTGTTAAGTACAATGTACTTATAAGTGATAACAACTGACTGTAAAATACACGGGTGTCTCCTACTTGCATCAATGAAAGCTTTAGTGCAAGTGAAAATTAACTTGTAAGTTGAAATGGTGACTTTTACAAATGATAGTAGAAGACCACTCAGACATATAATGACTCATATAAAGACAATAAGCATTGAATATAATGATGCCTTGCAGATGGCATCAACAAGCTTGTTGTAGAATGCACTGAATACAATTATTAAGAAATCTGTGAAATGATGATTGATATATAAGCTGGTATCAATAATATGTCGTAAAGATAAACACCTACAAGCAACTGTAGAAAGTCCATTAAGCTAGAATAGCCTATCTACGAACAATAACGAGCAACATGTAATAGGTTTTAGGTCACCTTTGCAGTCAATGATGATAAGCAATCAAATAAGTGTATTGATCTCTCTGCAAATAG